GGAACTTTTATTAGATTTGATTTACAATGATGAATAATTCAAACATCTGACTCTGCTGCAAATTTGGAAATAAACAGATTAATAAACAATTATTAAACAATAATTAAAGTGCCCCCACGGTTCAAAGCCTGATCAATTTTTGACTTTGAACCGTCATAACAGAACAAGATTTCTGTCCCTCAAACAGAAGAAGTGACCTCTGGCCTCACCTCCACCACCAAATGGAACCTCCTCGCCGGTGGGCAGCAGCCACACTGGGTTGCTATAGATGTTGCCCTCAGGTACCAGGCATATGAAAGTGATGTTGAGACCCACAAAAGGGACCTGGCCTTTTGGTGGGCTCACAACAATAAAGCCAGTTTCTGAAAACAACAGGGTAAAAATGTTACAATGAAAAATTAAAACTTATATCTAGTCTTCTAATCCTTAATCCTTGGAACTGAATACCATGATTATTTGACGTTTGCAAAATGGTAGCACTGTAATAAACTGAACAAACAGAAACCCAGGTACGTCTGAGAAACATATCCATTGCTCTACAATGCAGTTTATTTTTTAATACAATGTACATGAATTCCACTAACTATCCCTTCAGCAATACAAGAGGCACAGCTTTCCCATTATGAGTCATTTTTCCTTGTGTGAATTTGACACATATTTTGTGCCCATTCCATTGGAAATTGATTAGATAACTTAATGGAAATACATGTCAAGCACTTAGCCTCATTTAGTGCATTAAACACTGCATTTCACCTTGGTTTCTCATGAATAACGATCAAAGTGTTGGGTGCATCACAAACTGACATAATGTAAATAGTTGCTGCATCACATACTGTTGTATTGTGTGTACAAAGTTAATGGATTGTCTATCACTTTGATCTGTACCAAAACTATTGTACACGCCATTTTGTGGTGCACATGACAAAAGGTAATACCTGCCGAGTCTGATGAAACTTACCCATCATTTCACACTGGGTTCCATTCAGTCCTGCAGGACATACGCATTGACCTTCGACACAGGTTCCACCATTTAGGCAGGGGGGCGTGCATATATCCGCTAGAAGAAAAAACAATGTATTAAAAATAATAATCAAAACCAAGTGAACTTTAATGGTTTCGAGCAGCATATGGTTGGTAACACGATTTCACTGCAGAGAAGCTTCTTTGAACACTTATGGGCAGTTGTATTCTGGCCCAAAATTTTCAATATTAACAAAAATAGATACAAAAATAACATCATCATCAAATACAAAAATAGCTGACTTGAACAATATATGGTATTTCTGACCAAAACCTCAAATATTGCAACAATCCCTGATCCCAGCATGGAGCAATATTTGCTATTCCACAGAAGGCTGCGTAAAGTGACCAAGTTCAATTCGGTGCACAGTCAACCCCCACGGATTTCTCAGACTGGGTGTGCTTGTGCGTGTGTGCACAAAACAAAACCAGGGACTAGCATGCACACATGTCCACCAGCAGTCACTCTATCCCATCTGTTATCCCTGGATGTAGCGACTGCCACATCCTGTAGATATACGTCTATAAATGTAAGTTTATCTTTACAAGGGATATGCTTTTTGTAGTCAGGAAGTCATTCAAAATGTGATTTGTGCAAGGCACACTGAGCTCAACAACCTCATCCTTAACATATTTTGGTGCTAGCAACACTTCCCCGCTAAGGAACCTCCTGCACTATGCATGTATTATCCTGTGGGCTCATGCAACAGATTCTTAACAGAGGGTCATTGTCAGGGGCAGATCCGGGGGGGGGGAGGCACACACCCCAACCCCTTTTTCACCAAAAAATAAATTTAAAGAGAAAATAAAGAGGGCGGGGGAAGGAAAAAAGGGGGAGGGACCCAGCCCCTTAAATGTGACAAAGGCATAAAAAAACAACAGTTCTGCAACACAACAGTTGGTTACCCAATCTCCCTAATTTTATGGCCGCAACCCGAAAGATGTTAGTCCACACCCCCTCCTTCGGAAATTTTGCTGGTTCATAAGAACCAGATACCACTGCATGGCTTCTGACTAGCACCCCCAAATAAATATAACTGACAAATGGGAAGAGCCAACAACGTAGGACTGGATAGCTCATTTGTTACAGCACCGGTACGGTATTCTGGAGGTCACGGGTTCAACTCCCACTCCAGTCAATTTCTTTCTTCATCTTAATAAACATATGTAAGCACCTACTCAGTTTCCCTATATAGTTTGTTTCATGACTGCATGGACAAGATAGACTGGAAGGAGCTATGGGACTCAAGTACTTACCGGGCAGGTCGATGATCAGTGGGTGTCGGATGGGCCCAACGATGCAGGTATAGCCAGCCAGGTCCTCTACCTGCAAGTTGTTGATGAAAAGCGCCGTACTGAACCCTGTGACTTGGCTGGAGCTGACACGCACGATGGAGCCTGTCAAAGACAAGGATGCAGGAAGTCTGACCGAAGAACTTTTAAACTGGTGGTTGATTGGAAGACTCGTCCAAAATGAAGGCCTACATCTCTGACGAATGATTACTTGCATTGCCTTTGTTTCTGCATCTTGAAAACTGCTCTGAGCAAGGGTGCTTTATCAAGGGTCATACTGCATTGCACTGAATTCATTGCACTGTATTGTCACTCAGTTTGATTATGCCAGCAAATTAGTGGTTAGGTGCACATAGGAACGTAACTTGAACTCAATAGTAATATCCCATGTAACCACATGTACATGCATGTGGCCCACCGATAAATATAATTCATGACGCAATATGTCAAGGATCACCAGGGAAGCCCCATCTGGGTTGGAAGCTATTTCATTTTACTTCATTTCCTTCAGTGGAATGCTGGTATTAGTGAAGTCAAGCACTGGACGAACATATTCGTCAGTTGCACCACAAACTGACGTATGATGTCTACAAAGTCTATAGATGGTACGTCACTTTATGGTCTACCAAAACTATCCAACACGTAAAACAGATGAATTACAGTAATCAATGCGCCTGTATTATATCAATGTTTGTGCACTTTCAATGTGTCTTTAAATGAATCATTGGGAATTGCCTTCTTTCATGGTTTTCTTCAAAATGACAGCCTGCAAAAAGATAATAATTCCCATGGAATTCAGTTCCATTCACCATATTCAAAGCCAAGCGTGTTCTTCAACAACAATTTTGTCATTCACTTCAGGACAACTGCAAATGAAGCACTGTGTCATTAAACCAGACCAACGGATGGAAACTCACAAAAGCTATGAAACATACCTGCAGTAGCTGGCTGCACAGCTCGGCCTTGCGCTGTGACCCACATTGGTGGCCCAAAGGGGTTGGATTCAGGCACCTCACAGACATACACCACCTGTCCACCAATCACTGGTACTTGGTCCTCCGGGACATCAATCACCACAAAGCCATCCACTGTAAAATAACCACTTTCTGATTCGATTTTACTCTTATAATATACACTAGTTTTATTTTTGTGTATTTTTTTTACATGAGATATTTTACATCTGAATGTGTCCTGCATCACTGCACATTTTTCATTTGTTTATTCCAAGGAGAACACTGCCTAGACAAAAAAAAATGAAAGACCTAGACCCCACTCATTGCTTGGAAATAAAATACAAGTTAAGGAAAAAGTGGTCCTGAACCTTTTCGAGTTGTATATTTGCTCAACCCATTCAAAACATATCAAAGAAAAGGAACCAGCAATGCACGGATATCACAAAGGGGACTTACCCGGCCAGAAAAAGTGATTTGTGAAAATAAATCCACTTAAAATGTCTATACAGTAATGGTGTAAGAGAAAAAGTGGAATTCAAGTCTTCTCCCAATTTTTCTCATTTTTTCTTCTGGTTTTGGACTGACCTGGTGTTTCGCATAGGACACCAGTCAATCCTTCCAGACACACACAACGGCCACCCACGCAGCTGCCTCCATTCATACACGGTGGCTCACAATCTGCAAGGGAAACACAGAGTTGTTGCACCATAATGCACATTGTTTGCGTTATTAGATTTAAAAATAAATTCAATAAGATTGCATCTGTTTTGACGATGTCCATGACAGACGTAGCAATGCGACAGAGGTTTGGGTTAGCACCATGGGGCATCTTTTTTGTGAGCAAGTGAGGTTCTGAAGTGGACTGAACATTTCCGACCCAGTGTTGTGATAGCAGTCACCAATTAACCTCCCTGACCTGGGACTGTTTTAATGATCACGGGTGTGAGTGGAACCTGAAAAAAATAGCCGAGTACGAATCACAAAGCATATACGGTGTTGGGTCCGGGCCCATAAAATGTTGAAATGTAGATGCTCTGTGGTGCATTACAGCCTCCCAGTGCAACCACGGATGCATAAAAAAAAAATCTGAACTTGTAACACCTTTGTATGAAATAGAAGCCAACCAGCGGCCATTTTACCAAGCTGAATACAAATGTGCAAGTTGGATCGCTTGCTGTTGTACCTGTCGATGCCAGGGAGAACAAAGGCGGGCATTGCTGGGCAAGCTTTGTATTCGGCTCGGTAAAATGGATTCAATGATCTCTATAAACTTATTACGGGCATTGTGAGGCCAGATTTTTTAATATACGTCAGTGGGTGCAACCACTGGTTATTTTTCTTTCTACAATTTAAGCATATTTTTATTTAACTGTTTTCTTCATATTCGCCTGAAACGTCCTGAAGGTTAAAGGGAACTTGTAATAGGTGTACCAAAATTGTAAGTTGGCTGTTAACCCACCTGATTTGACTACATTTTCAAAATTTGTCACAAAGAGCACATATTGCATATCCAGGCTTTAAGACTTTCTGGGCATGCTGGGTGCAGCTTGTCGCCTGCCGGTTTATGGTCTATTCCATCCATGTCCATTACTGTGGTTTTGTAACTTGACAATCGGTCTTGTCAAATTGGTGTTATCCAAGTCAGAGCCCCTTTGGACAATTACGCATTTGAGTTGCACTGACATTTTGATGAGTTTATGTCCAAAAACTGATTGAAATCTTGTTTATCATTAACCCACTAGGCTGTATGTAAAATTGTATTGAAATTGGAGGATTTGGGACTGTTAGGGATAAACCAGAGCACATTCAGGCCCGTTGCCTGACTAGAGATGGGGGGGTTGTCAAACCAAAAAAGTGGAACTTTTGGCACTGTTAACACATATTTTCATACAAAGGCCTATCACAATGTGCTTTGGAAAACAACATTGAAAAGTTGCATGTCTGTCGCGAACCAAAGGTTGCATGAAACACTTGTACACTGTAGTTTTCAATATTGAATAAACTTAACAAAAATGTATTGATTTCAAACCCTTTGAAACACCTGAAATGTGGATATTTGCCGGAACTTCCTGACGGTATAAATGACTAGAGATTGATTCATTAATATGCAGAATCGTGGTCACCTCGAGCTTGAGAATCAACATATAAGCAGTGGCTGGTATGCTAAATATTACGATATATTTCAAATATTCAGTGCAAAAAAACAAACCCAAAAAAACCCACCAACAAGCGGAACTCAGAAGCGAGTGGGGGGTTCATTTGAGCCCCTCAACCCCCCCCCCCTGCCTACGGGCCTGACATTGAGCATGTGAGAGCTGTGCAATAATGCATGACAAAGAATTTCGCCCAAAGCCTGTTGCAATACTTTTTTCCCTTTCCAATCGCACTATGCGAACATAATTTGGGTACCTAATACTGGCACACTTCTCACGGTGACATTTTGCTTTTATAGCCTCATTTACCGACAGCAGTGGATGGTTGGGTCAGCCGACATTTCTAACCATAAACACAGCATTCTATCCAAAATGGTAAAACAGTTCTCTTCAGGGCCTAACAAACTCATACAAAGAGAGATTTCACATAGTATCACCGCAAACCTTTATAACAAGAACAGATCTGGTTACCTGAGACAGTCAACTCAAATGATAATGACAGTGGTCTCGCAAAGCAGTAATAGTCGCCCAAATCGTCAATGGTCAGATCCCGGATGACCAGCTGAGTGACCAGTGGAGATACCTTCTCAACAAAGACACGATTAACTTCACCTAAAAAATGGGGAAAATCAGAAAGAGAAGAGAAATAAGAAAACTTATGCAGCTTTAAGGTACCACTTCACAAAATGGAACCATAATGGAGTTTGGCACTCCTTTCTCCAAATTCAACAACTGCACCTTTGGAGCCAAAATTCCGTTTTGAGGACTTCTGTTATAGCGTGAAACAGAACAAAAACACTTCAAGATTTAAAGTCAACTCTTAATGTAAGTTGTTGACAGCTATTTTGGTGAACAGAGACGACAAGTTAAGCCTATTCAAAATTTCCATTTAGCCTAACAACAGGTCAAAAAATAGAGGGGTGTGGAAAACGCTTCTCAAGTTTTTGAGTTTTATTTGTGAAATGAAAGATGTCAACTGGTTTTCCTTGGAGAGCATGTCCTCATACAGTTTATGCTTACACCTGTATGCACTAGAATCCACGCTTTATGCAGGGAACCTGATCCCATTCAACAAAACAACAATACAGTGTCTATGAATGTCCCGAAACCTGTTTACAAATGAAAAGTTTATTGTTTATTTCCAAAATACGATACATTTCAGTATCTTTAAGAATCCTTCTGTCTCTCAGTTACCTGCAGTCAGTTTCTACTATTTTTTGGCAGTGGAACACAAGTCAAAACAGTAAAAAAGAAGTTTAGGGACACACGGTACACTGCTGAAGCTCTTCAATCTTTCATAACTGTGGAAACACTGTATGGTTTTTGAATGGATATGTCTCATTTTGGAAATAAACCCTTCACATGTAGGAATATCCGTTAATTGTTCAGTCGAGTGATATTCATAGTTTACCAATCCTGTTTGGCATTCATCCGGTTACATACATGTAATAAAGGTGAGTACATATGGAGATATCAAGAGATGCTTGAAACCCTAGCATTAGCTCAGGAAACCAAACTTGATGCCGAGTATAATTGCTTTAATGCTAGGATTTGTGGTATACTAAAGTTGACACATCATTTTGTATTTTTCGTTCTTCCTTTACCTTCGGTAGCCTCAGCGATCCTGGTGCTGCGGTACTGCCACTCAGGATTGATGACAAAATGGTCGCCCTCAACAACCTGGCAGAGGAAGGCAACGTCCAGGCCCATGCCAATCACCTGTCCGGGGGGCTGGACGATTTGAATAAACCCACCCACTAGAAAAGATAACAGCATGGGAGAAACACGATTGGCAATGGGTTTCTACAGGTTTGTTGGACACTTGGCCCATTTTGACTCACTTTGAGGGGTTGAACCCAGCTGGAACAAGTCACTTCCAATTTACATAGGATTAGCTCTAACAGCAGGGTTTAATGGGATAAATATACATTACCAGCCGAGTTGACAAATAAGGCCAACGCCCATCACCGTCCAACATTTTACTCTCGACAAGAAGAACAAATTCCAAGAATTTTAGTGGGACATTCACAAAAAGGCACAGAGAGTCAGGTTGGGGGGGGAGCCAGGTTGGTGTAGTGTTTCTTTCTTCGCCTTCCATCTCTTTGGTCTGGTTTCAAATTCCTGCCCAGTCCACATGTGGATTGGGTTTTCAGTCCTTACCTGATTCTGTGGGTTTTACCCCGAATATTCTTTTGAGGTATTCAACCCAGCTCTAAAACTGTAACTGCTTCTTATTGTCTCCTCTCTACAGGTTTCTTCAGGCTTGCGAGCTACGGTGCCTAGGATGCTTTAGAGGAATCCTTGGACTCATCATCAGAAATGATTCGTAGTAATAATAACAATAATGTTTGTCTCCACAGCACGTACCTGGTGTTTGGCACTCCGTACCATACCAATCCTCAGGGCACAGACACACTTGATTTACACAGGTGCCTCCATTCATGCAAGCAATGGGACAGCGGATCTCTAAAATAAATTGAAACATTCAATAACATGAATAAACAGGTCTGTGGCAACAACAAGATTTTTGTTTAGTTTCTGGAACTTGGCTCTTTAATTAAACTGTCTCTAAAATCAAGAGGTTGAACTTTTATTGAAATCAATTATAAAATCCACAGCATTAAAAACATGGTTTATTCTTTTGTTTGGTTGTATCTTCCTTTTCAAGTTCAAAAAAAAAAACTTGGGTTCCTTACACAACTTGATGTTTATCTTGGTTGTGTTTCACAGAAATTAAAGAGACATGATGATACCCTGGCATTCTATTTTTGACTCTTCATCCCAGTACTAGGCTGTGAAATCAAAAGCATTTATCTAGAAAATGATCCCAATATAATCATGAGCAATGCAAATTCCTACCAAAGCATTCTGTGCGCCAATGTTCTTACTCTGCAATTTCAAAAGTGGGATTTTGACGGTGGCCGAAGGAATTTCAACACCTAAAATGTTTTAGGTGTTGAAATACTTGCAGAAATTTACAACCACCAGGAAAACACTGCTAACGTGAAAGGCCTTTTAAAAATGAACTTCGCCCTCAATACAGCTGAGCTCCTCCCGTCGTACCTTCCCCTTGCACCAGCAGCGTCACCGTCTGCCGTATGGGCCCAACCATGCAGGTGTAGTCTCCTCGGTCATTGAGCTGAATGTTATGGATGATCAGCTGGGTGGTAAATGGGTTGACGTTGCGTGTCCCAATCACTTCGTTCAGAATGCCTGGGACACAGCACAGGAAGAGGGATTGTGTTTTCGTGACAGCAATTTAAGAAATTGAAGAAGAAAACCCGATTTCTTGAATAGTTTGTCATGCCTCCTCGAAGGGTGCTTGAGGCATTTTTAATAATTCGTTATAAATATCGCATAGAGATGGATGCATTGGCAGGTATAACAATGCAGTATATACCACTTCCTGGAGGAAGTGTGGTTTTGGAAAAAGAAGGAGTGACAAACAGAACACACTGGAGAATGAAGACAAACAGGTCGCACCGTTTGAAACGCCAAGAATACACTCACTGCCGGTTCTCTGCAGAACCAGACTTCTTGTAAGAAGAGATTTATTCTACATGGGAACCTGCATGCAAAGCTTCAACTCCTACTGTAATAATTCAGCCTTTCTGCTGAGAGCAGATGCCCTATGGCTTGGAGTGCAGTTGGTTTAGTTTAGTTTACACTTCGCCATTCCCACACATACAACCTCACCTCGCACTTTATTCCTTTCCTTGCCACTAGTGAAAACAGTGTTAGGCACAGTTGAGTTGTTCAAATGAAGTCTTCAATTTTTGGTCTTGGCTCTGGATCTTGTGATGTCTCAGCCACAACACTGGACCTCACAGATATCACAAAAACCATAAGAGAACAAATACACAAACGAACAAACAGAAAAAAAATGGCCAATATTACCTTCATCGATCTCAGCGTCAAATTGGTCTAGCCACACAGGGTTTTCAAAGGGGCTGTTCTCTGACACTTCACAGGTCAGGATGACATCTTCACCAACATCAAAGATTGGTTTGGGTGGGCGTCGGATGGTCAGGAAGACACCAACTGCAAGTTAAGATGTGATCTGCTATGATAAATGTTTAACAAAGGCTACAAACATACATGCACCATGTAACCCTTTTACCGTGGTTGTCTAACTGTTCAGCAGCTCTGTGAAATAAGACCCAGTTCAGCAGAAGTAATGTTCAGTTGTGCGACAAAAATGCTGGTATTGGTATGAGCCACGAGATGGACCAAGAGGGAGGCAAGTTTCGTAGCAACAGAGGCTCCTTCGGTTGGAACTGCACTTCACTGGTTCATACACAACTATGAAATGAACAGGTTCATAAATGAATATGAAATGCGCATGTAAGGGTCACATCACTGCCACAAGAATATGAAAACTTCCCCCTAACATGGCATTTTCGAACAACAGCAGCATGCCTCTGCTCAAGGCGGATGCCTTGTAAACTTTTGTCGTTGCTGGTGCACTCCCCTACTAAGGCATAGTATTGTGTTATTAACCATGCCCGACCATTTCGTTTCCCTCCTGCTGCTTCTATCACAAAGACTGGTGACAAAAAAATGCCTCTACATCGTATTGTGCTCAGTACCTGGTATGTTGCACCTCGGCCCGATGTAGTTGGCTGGACACTGGCAGATACCGGTGATGCACATTCCTCCATTCTGACAGACTGGCTCGCACGGTATATCTGCAAGACAAGGCAGGACAATCTGAACTTCACCAAAACATTTCCAAATAAGCCTTGAAGTTTTGCACTGGGGAAAGTGTGATACAGCTCTAACGGCTCATCCCCCGGGGCAAAATGTAAGGGTATAACCCCCCCTCCACAGTGCATGCCCATGTGAGAATGTATCACATGAGAGATACTACAGCTGCAGCTATGGTAAGTCGTGTTGGCATAGTACAGCTTTGCTAGGATTTCGACTCTGCGGCACAGGTTTGATTCCTGGATCAGTCCACGCTGTTTGAATTCGGATTTCATCAGTCCGTACATGATTCCACAGGTTTAACCAGAACAGTCTTTTTGGATTCTCTTCTCTACCAGCCTACAGGTTTCCTCAAGCTTGGGAGCTACAGCGACTGGGGCACTTTTGAGGAATGCTTGGTTTCAATAACAGAAAAGCTTAGCACTAATGAGCTCATTACCTGTGACAGTGACGTTGAAGCCCTGTCGAATTGGTCCCACTTTGCAAATGTAGGTGCCAGCGTCCTCCAGCCGGATGTCCCTGAAGAGGAGGCTAGTGGAGTACGGAGACATGATCTCGGTCCCCATATTATCATTCTCACCTTGAAGGAAAAAAAAACCAATAGAAAAATCTAACATTTGGGAGAAGCCCTTGAGATATTTCTTTGCTTTTTTGAATGTTCCACTAACACTAGCAGAGCCAGCAACCACATCAAAGTAATACCCATAACTTCACTAACAGAAAGGACTCCGACAACATCCTGTGAATTTCCTCTCACCAGCTCTTGACAGCACTGAGCATAAAATGCTACTCAAATTTCATTGCTGCTACTCAAATTTCACTGAAGAGAAATTCTGAGATTAAAATTTGCACCTGTCAAAAATAGAGTTCCATGAATCAATATATAAATATTCAATCACAAAAGAGCTTTTTTTCAGACCACCTTCAAGCCGGAAAGAGAGAGGGAGCAGAAATATGCCCCAAAATATCCTGTTACTCTTTTGGAGTTTTTCACACATTGTCCATATGAGAGTAAGACAATAAATCTCTTGATAGACTGGGAAGAAAAACGTCTTTGAGATGACAGTGGTGGAAATGTCAAAGAGAGGTGGAGTCCAACCCACCCCAGCTCCATCAAGGTAGAGAATTGTAAGGTTGAAGGCTAAGTGGCTATATAATTCTCCATTGTCCCAACATGAATTTTCAGAGTATTTCGGGTTAGCAGAGCAGCTGTCATACAATGTACCTTGCAACAGGGTGATCTGGTCTCCATCGGGGCTGAGCCACATAGGCTGGCCGTACGTGCTGGATGCGGGAACCTCACAGACGAACTTGATGGTGTCGCCCACGACCGGTGGGTCGATGTCTGGATTCTGCACCACGACAAACCCCTCAACTGCAAAATGCACCACAACATCTCAATTTGTAAAAAAATAAAATGGAAGAGCATATCTCTTCTGTTATAACCTTCATTAAAATAAGTGACTTCATAAGTAACATCAGTGATTTGACTAATTTTGTTGAGTGCCTGCATCACAGATATTCCTCTGATGAAGATACAGGTGCACTGCATTTACGTTTCATTGACCTGTTTTTTTATTGCTAACAGTCAAAAAATACAAAATAGCAAAGGAAGTGATGAACAAACTTCACAAAAATTATAAGACCGCTGTTTTCATATGATACTTATGCAAACAACATAATCATTTATCATGAGCAACATCCTATGTAGTAGTGTGGTGTCTAACCCTTCTTTGTCCTGTATAGACGAAGCCTGTGACCATGATAACAATATCACTGGCCATTTGCAGTGGCCCCCAGCAATGGCAGAAAACATGGCAATATCAAAACAGCCACTGTTCACTGATGATAACTCTGCACAAAACCCATCACAACACCGCCAACCATTAAAGGGGGCCATCTTCTATGTCTGTTGAAACTTCACCGGGAGCCAGTTTGCTTCACATGAATCTGGATCTTGATCAGTGATCCCATCGCTGGTTCCCTCCATCCATTAGGCAGGTTATGGTATCAGTGAACCAATGACAGATCACTGATCATGATTCAGATCTGCGAGAAACAATCTGGCCCTAAATTCACATGCCAGGAGGCATCACATTATCATGCTCAGTTCCCAGACAGAGTTCCCTTCTGTCATTGTTCACTCACCGATATCTTCGCACGCTTCCCCTGTGAGGCCAATTGGGCAAATACAGACATCACCAACGCAAGCACCTCCGTTCTTGCATTCCGGGAAGCAGGATGGCACTGCCAAGAAAGATAGCATAACGGAACGAATGATAGGGTGATGCAGTCAACAGTGCTATGGTCCACTCTTCAATTCCCATGAAAAAGAGGAAACAGTGTGGACCAGAACTTCCTGTTGGTCCACCTCTGGTGCCCAGGGTTAGGCTTTATACAGGCGATTCACAATATTGCGCCACCAAGAGTTTGCAACATGTTGGCCAATCATAACGCGCGAAATTTGTCGACCCTTTCCAAACGCACATTAGGTCGACAAATTTCGTGATTGGCCAACGCGTTGCAAACTCTTTGTTGCGCAATATTGTGAAACGGCCGTATTGTTCTGAGGCATGGCCACGGGGCAAATATGACCATGGACTCTATAGACCCTATCCGTGTGGAGGCTATTTTTTATCTTATTACCCCAATCTGTTTTATGCATTGCAAACTCTCAATTAGGATGGCACCAGACTGTTTTATAATTCCGTGCATTCCAAGCCTCCCTTTCAATAATTTTTAGAATCTGACAAGGGTGTTGTGTGTTCGATGATGAATTTGAAATTATTCATCAGAGTAGACAGGTGCAAATTTGTCATGAAATTTCATTTTGTTGCTTTCATTTGTACTCTCAACATTCAAAAAAGAAGAGTTAACCTCGCTTTAAAATTCAATATGGCCGGCCGCATAAAGAAAGTCTGTGAAGCATACTTTATGCAGAACAGACCTTCTCCCTAGAGTGCTGCCACTATTATAGCAGCATAGGAGTAACAGGCGAGTCACATTGGGAAAGTACAGGTACAAACAGGTTTTAATGCCATTCTGAATTGATCTCAATAGTCTGGATACTACAAAGTGAAGACCATAAGGGTGCTATTCATCAGATCTCTGGGAACTATTAAAGAGACAAGAGGCTTATGATGCAGTGAAAAAAAGGAAGTGTATCGCAAATAACAAAACATTCTGGTAAATACTATCTTGGAAGTTTTTTCTGGGCTTCAGAAGTCTAGTTGACGTCAACTGAACACAGACCAATGTGAACATGTACAATTACACAAATGACAAGACCTTTTTAAGAGGAGTGTGGATCAGAAAGAAGAGAAGATTCTTTTTGCCCAAAAGCCTCTTCCTTCTTTTTCCCACTTACACTCAACTAGCAGGTCGTATCGGTATCTAATCGGTCCTGCTACACAGGTGTAGGTGCCTGATGTAGTCACTTGCAGGTTCCTGAAGATGAGACGTGAGCTCTGTGGCGTCACCTGTTCGGTGCTGAGTTCCACAGTGCCTCCTGATTGGTCAAGTACAAAGGGAATGATTTCAATGCGCATGAAAAACTGAGAAAAAGTGGTGTTTAAAATTGAGCCAGTTTCCAAGTATCCCTGTGAGTCCTTTGGAAAACTTTAAAATTCACATGAACACAGCTGGGAGATCCCAACTCCAGGATCTAAAGGAGTGGCAACTTACTAGGTTTGGATGATAGGACATTTTTCAATACCGCAATATTTGTGATAAAAATACTGCAATATTCACTGATCTGCAATATTTTTTGAAGTGGGGTACTAAATACATCAAAAAGCAATGGCGATAAGCAACCATTTTTTGGGGTGGGAAAAAAAGGAGAGGAATTGAAAAGCTGGTTGCACCTCATCAAGGCACCATAGCGTCTCACTGGACACATGGAATTCAAATCTCAACATAAATTCCTGACATATTGCCATAACTTGGGAATATGAAAATTGCAAAACAATTCACATTCATGGCTGCTAAATGGCAATAAAGGGTTTGTCAAACAGGGTAGCCAAGCAGTGAAGACTTTGAAATTTCTAGGTACAGTGGCATTACAGGGGAGAGATTTCTGAAGAAGGGGCATCCAAGAAAGGATCATTTAAAAGGTAGTGTGGGCAAACTATCTGTGGTTTATGCATCAACTGTTCATGCTCATTTCAAAATGTCAAAGGGGGCTCAGATAACGGGGGGGGGGAGTGGTAAACAAAATAAATTGGTTATAACCTTGTTCGATGGGAGGGATGGGACGGTTGAGTGGGTCCACCCAGTATGGTCGAAGGCTGCTCAAGGGGCTGCCCTCAGGCAGGACACACAGCAGGGAAAAGTCGCCTCCGTAGACAGGGTCGATGGCTGGCACATCCACCTGTAGGTAGTTGGGATCTGGCAGGGATGGCCAAACATGTAAGGAAATTATGCTGATGCTTTCGGCACTTACAGTCGCTTTCAACCAGCATTATTTTTCAAGACAAGTCACAGCAAGTCGCAAATAATTTTTCCACAGGACATGTCACAGATCAATTATCCCCAAGTCCAGTTGCAAGTACCTTTCTTCAGTCAAGTCTGCATTAAATACTTCCATAGTTAAATCCCAAGTCATTTTTCAAGCTTATTTTATGTCATAATCAGGAGGGTGCTACCACTTTTTAAAATCTAACATCATTATTTACAATGTGACCATTGACGGTTTTGCAAAACAGGTCTGAATTGTATTCCTAATGTTTTCAGTTCTATCAATTATGTTCATATTTTTATCCTCAGACATAATGAAGGCACTGACATGACAAAGACATGAATATAATGAAAACAGATGAGTTAACTTTGAGACATAAAAATCATTGATTTAAGCTTGCAGCAAGAAGACCATCTCACAGTGTGCTGTTTAAACCATTGAGCATTCACTCATAAGACCTTCTCAAATCCAACCTCTAAGTATCTGTCCATGGCGTTGCCACAGATTTACGCAGTATTCAATTCACAGATACACAGAAATATATGGTATTACCATCTGCTGAACATCTGCACTCCACTTTCTTGACACAATGTGATACCACTATGAGAACATCATCTGTGAGGAACCTCTTCTCGGTTCATTTTAATCAAAGTTATGCTTAACTGGCTTTACTAATATTCAAAATGATCTCGCAAAAGAAAAAAGCGTTAGTCAGGAGGTAGACCAGGGGACCTAATTACCAATCTCCTGGCACTGTTGACCAATGTATCCTGGTGGACAGCGGCAGCCACTGACTGTGCAGGAGCCTCCGTTGATGCACGGTGGGTTGCACTCAACAGCTGCAGAGTCAAAGAGCAAAATGCAAAAGATTAACAATGATTTAAAGTCCCTGACTGAAATCCCCCATTCAGTTGCACCTCAGCTGGACAATATGGCTCACCCGCGAAGGCAGAGCCTGTGTTGAACTGGAACATGACTGATGTACAAAACCTAAATGTAATAGATACATGTATCATCATTCGGCGGTGGTATCCAAGTGTTAAAAAACATAAGGTTGGGTAAAAAAAATTGGACAAGTACACTCCACTCTTGTTATAACAAAGTTAGAGGAACAACACAAATTACTGTGCTATAACTGGGATTTTGTTTTAAATGGAGAGGAAGATCAAAGAATTGGTCTTTGTAATAACGATTTTCTATGAGAGTCAACTGTATTATTTGAATGACTCCAACAAGTTAGAATTAAAAGCAGGCAGCTTTATCTTGCCTTTATTGAAAAATTAAAATTTTTGGCCAAGATTTCCTATACTGTACTAATGTGGTTCATTAACATTTACCATACAGGAAACACACAAACAGAAAACTGTTAATAACCCTCGACAGGTACAACCCCTCTCTAGCTGAATTTGGATCAGCCACAGTTACCATCCAGAAGAGCTGGCGATAATAACAATGGACTCCTACCCAGGACGACAACATTGTAGTTGTACTTCAGTGGCCCAGCTGAGCAGGTGTACGTCCCAGCGTCCTCCAGTGACAGGCCTGAGATGTAGAGGTGGCTGGACGTTGGATCAGGGTTGACAGTGTACACGCGGGTTGCACCTGAAAGTGTAAGACGGTCAAGTGTTAGACACCAAAAACAGCAACTTGGGGCTAGTGTGGCACAGAAAAGAGAACTCCAGCATTTGGGAAGTAAAAACACAGATGGTTAACTGGTTGTGGAAAACTATCAGGTGCAGACTGCACCAAACAGGAGGTGGAAACTGATGTGCTCTGTGTTACTGAAGATGGTAGCACTCTCAAGGAAAATTGTAGGTGTAAATATCGTGGCAGTCTCCTCCTTATGCCAAATAGGGAACATTCATAACAGAACCTTAGTGAGACACGTATACTTTTATAATGCCCTGAGACTTCCATTATCTGTTGTGCAACCATGTTTCAGTAATGTTACAATCATATTACACATCACCAATGTCAAAATATACCCCAGTCTTTTTTAAATTGATTAATATTCATTTCTCATTCATATTCATTTCCATGTGTACATTTGTCCCTAAACACAACAGACATTTCAAATATGAAAGGTGTCAGAGTCATTCCAATGCTTACCAGAGCTGAGGAAAAGCTTGCATAAAAAAAAAAAAAACATTTCCTTCCCTCATATCCGTCTAACATAATAATTGCAGACTTGAGATGTTGAGCCCTTTAGCCACTTTTTAAATGACTCTCATTATGCGGAGGGTCACATATATTTGCTGCGCCATTCCACAAGAACAATCAAGCACAGATATTGTACGTACCGTCGGTCCGAGAGCCAATATCTCTACCCTGGGGGTCCTGCCACACGGGTCTCTGGAAGCGACTGTTGGGACCCACCTCACACAGGAGGACTAAGTTGCCACCTACAATGGGCACCTCGGGGTTGGTCTTGGTCACGCGGATGATAAATGCTTGGGGATCTTGATGGGGAAGCACAAAGAAAAGAACAATTCCTCTATAGAAAGGTTACGGCGGTGACGACCATTCGAATGGTGGAAATTCAACTAAAAATGACAGCTCACCTACTGCACTGTACTTTTTATGTCCCATTTGGTTACCAAGACTATTTTGGAACTGTAATTCAGGAATATGAAAACAACTATCCATTGGATACTTGATTGATTGGTATCCACACATCATTCTCATAGATAATGAACCATTTCAAGTCACCAAGGTTAATAGACCTTTTTCCTGTGATTTCATGATTGTGCTGTGCTGGACCTATAGGTCGAGTTCGGGCGGCCTGTTTTTGACACAGGTTTCTTGTTCTCACGCTCGAACGGCGGGAACATGACTCAAGAACACTGTTCTCGGAACAGGATCACACACCATCCTCCTCGTCAGGGTTTTACAGGAACACATGAAAAACTCGAGAGATTTTGATTTTTGAACAGCTGCAAAAGTAGAGAGATGGCTTCAAAGCCAAAGACAATGGGAAGTTTTTCAAATTTATTATTTTCCATAACACAGAAATGAATGTTCCTGTTTATATAGAAAAGAATTCAGCCCATCTAAACATTAAGTCTCGAATAACGCAGCCTACACGGACGCATGTTGCATGTTGCTTGTCACTAACTACCAGCGATAACCGGTTGTTTGTTCCCGGTGTTCGAGCAGCCGACCCACGAACAACAAAGCGAGCTGTTCGTGAACATACGGGAACAAGCCGCCCAACTCGGCCATAATGTTTTGCGATGGTAATGAGTACGTAGTGTTGTGATGGTAATCTGCCTATTCAAGATAAACTAGTCAAGCACGCAGCGTTCGCACATGCGCTTGCACGTGGTTGAAGCGGCCCAGAGGAATATATGCAATCACCGTGGCTAAAGGCGGTCCACGCGTGGTGGTATTGTTCACATTTACTCACGTGGGTGAAAAAGGTTTATGCAAGAAAAAGAAGATGAATGGTGGTCGCTGACATAAAGCCTAAGCTTGTACTAGGCATTACCCTCATGAGAACAGGCAATTACAGAGAGCTCATTGAGCTACATTTATTTAATTTAAATGGAAATAGTCCAAATTATGAGACTAGCTACACACAACAAGGAATGTTACAAACTACAAGAAACCTTTTCAAATGAGGAAAGAAAGATTATAAAAGTTGTGAAAAAGGGGGTGTATAATTCTTTGGTATTTTCTGAGTTTGTTTTTCTTTACTTGAGTCTTGGAGCTGGGCATCAGAAGTGGTACACAAGTACTTAATTGCTGATGCTCCAAATTGAAGGACTGGGTACCTCTTACAAACTTAAATTACTTGGCAACGTTTCAGAAATGGAGAATGAAGGTTTTGGGGAGCAACTGTTAATTCTTCTGTTGCTTTTGTGGTGATGCTAAGCCATATTTTACAAGCTACTGGTCGCAAAAACTATGAATGTGACATGGAAAGAGCAAACCTTACTGTTGAAATATCAACAGGGGTGAGGTTAAAGGAAAACAAAATATCTACAACAATAACCACGAGAGATTTTGAAGGCCCCATACACAGCAGCAAATTTGTGTTTGCCTTCATACATGTACATGTATATGTGACTGGCTCTAGAAAAATGAAATGGGTAATAAGTCGCCAGATTCAGGTTATGAAGTTTTGATGTGGTTGGATTCTGTACACCAAAAGCTACAATTTGATATATGAATGACCTCTGTAGTGCGCTGCGTTCTGGAGATATTTAGACATTTGTATATCCACTCTTTCGGATTCAATAAAAGCACTTTTCGAGAAAAAGCTCACAAAGTGTAGCACTTGGAGACACAATGCTACATAGGATTTCCTACTGAATTATCAATTTTTTATCTTTATTCATTAGTATCCATGTTTATAGTCACAAATTCTGAAAAAATAAAGATCATTGAAGTTATTAAAGGAGAAAACACAAAATCATGTTTTTGAAGAAATTTTGCCCTCTCCAAATAGAACAGGCCACGTGTATTGGCCCTGCCCGACTTATTACCCTTTGTTGCAGAGTGGGTCACATATGTCAACTCCCTAACAATGCCCATTTCTTACGCTCAACATCAACATTTGTACGTAAAAATACTTCAATAGTAAACACAAGATATTTTAAGTAGGAATTCCTGATAAAAATTCTTGCAATGAAAACCTATATTACTAATGTTACCAAAGAAGGGTAGTCTGAGGCCTCTACAGGCAACAATACTGTAATTCATAGCCATTATAAATTTGTCTAGAATGACCAGACTTTCCATTAAGACTCACTTTCTGTTTCGCAGTAATCTCCGTCGTATCCGTTGGGACACAGACATTCTCCTCCCATGCAGCTGCCTCCATTCTGACACTCCTGAGGGCACTCCACTGTCAAAAAAAATTCAAACAATATCATCGTCCCAGAAATAATAAGTGGAATTGATACCTTAGCAAAACACTGCCACAGTCTGGTTCACAGATCAAAACATCTAAACTAATTTGAGAGATAGCCACCATGGTCATGTGATGACAAAGGGGAAAAACTCCTGCAAGGCTGTTTCCAATTTTTCCAGAATTGATTAAACCATTTCTAAAGGATAATTCAGTTGATGTGTATGGTTGTGTCATCAATTTTCCTGAATAATGAGGAATAGAAAAATACATTTCCAAACATGCATTGCAATATACATGTAAACAAATTCTTCTTCACAATTGTTTTGCATATCTCTACTTTTGTATGACTTTGATTATGCCCAGTATTAAGAAATTCACCAAAATGTCGTAGCTGTAGTCAGTTTATTTTATTTATTTCTATATACATGTATTTTTTTAATTTTGGTCAGTTTGATTGGTACGAGAACACATGCGAAAAGTAGGAAACTTGTTAGAACACACACAATATTACACACAAGAATGCATTCTGGAAATCTAGCCACTCGGGACACGAGGAACTTTTTTCAACACCAAACAGGCTTGGTTATTTTGAACCATCTTGGGCATGAGGTATTCTAATCCCGACCTACCCGGCCTAGTCCAGTCCTTGTCAACAAAGGCGAGGTTAGACTCCAGAAGTTGTTTGCAAAATTCTTATCAATCATGCATTTTTGAAAATACTGACAAGCATATAACTTGTACTGGTCTTTGATTCAATTTTGGTTTTTACCAAAAGGTAACAATAAAATAATTTTGCATTTTGTCAACTCTGCACAAGCCGTCAGGTGTTTTAAATGCTCGGAAGAGAGTGGTCAATATATGCAAGGACATAAGTTACAGAGACTTTCTTGATGGTGATTTTTTAACAATGCACATAAACAAAAAGAAACTGCATGTTTTCCTAATTTTGCACAAGTTTTCCTGTACAAGGGTTCTGGAAGGCACCACCTGGGGTCAGGTTTCAGGTTCCTTTGGTGACAATGTACACAGCCAAGGATTCCAACCTCATCTCCACTCTTTTCAGTTTGAAAAGTTAAACATTCTGTATCTTACCCAAAGATTCACAGAGGAAGCCGGTGAAACCAAACTGACAGACACACTTGCCGTCTTGGCAGTCTGCGTCATTGCGGCAGGGATTGGCACTGCAATCCACTGCAACAGATTAAAGATTCAGTGATTTAGATTCAAAACATGCGATTCACAGGCTAAATGAGTTCCAGCAAAATTCTGCCTGTAGGGCCCTAAAATGTCTATCCGGTTTGAAGTGACTTCATCATACATATATACACACCCACCACTGTTTGCAAGTTTCCATTGGATGAACACACAAGTTGCGTGTTAACTTCCGGTTCTGTGGCATGTACTTTGGTGTGCATTGGGCACGGTTTAAAGTGAAGTGATGTCAAACTTACAAACTGGATACTCATTCTCATGCTTTGGTGCTTCCCAATGAGTTTGAGTACATGCAAAGAGGCTTAATCTGGTGTATGGAAGTTGAACATGACTGGAGCCCTCAAGCAGCTGTGGGCCGTGGCCAGACATAAAAAATGTCACTCCGTGACAGTTTTGAAAAGCAACAAGAACTAATAGATGTTACGCAAATCCTGAACAAATGACCGCCAAGGGTCAGCATCTGTATGGTAAAACTTTATAGAGGTTTTGTGAGGCAGCCATCTTGCAGAGCAGTTGTTTTGATCCACAGGGAAACCTCCTTTGTGTATACATGTACCCTGTGGAACAAAAGCACTGGCCTGCAATATGGAAGCCATGCAAACCCTCTATATCTTGTCTTGGTATCCTATTTCCAAGAACGGATTTTCGCCGGGGAAATGTTAATTAAGTTTTTAGATTTTTTGCCCTGCTAAACATATCCTGTGGTTCCAAAAATACTCATAAGAAGTCAAGGCAAATAAACTCATTAGTTCAGTAGTACTCCAAACCACCCAGACTGTTACACCTTACGCTACCATGCACCACTCCATTACTGCACGGTCTTATGGATTCATAAGGCAATAATCATAATGCCGTACAGGTGTCCATGAGCTAAATGTATACTAATTAAGCTTTTCTTCTCAATAAAAACAAGATCACTCTGATTACAATGCAAATTTCCCATGACTTCCATCCTCCAATACCGCCACATTACGCGCTACTCACATGTTGGAGACACCCTGTAGATGTACTGCAGGGGACCAGTCACGCAGGTATACGTCCCAGCATCCTCTGCTTGCAAGCCGTCGATGACCAGAGTGGCTGATGTAGCAGTAACATTCTGAACTCCGATTCGGCCAACACCAACTAAAAAAAAAAAAGCACTTAGTTACCTCGGAATGGTGTACGTGCTGTGGGGTCAATGTATTGTACATATGTGTGGACATCTTGGGGTAATGTGAACAAAACATAGAAATATCCAAGAAGGTGTGCACTGGCAGCAAAAGAGGGGGGAATCTGGCCTCCTCATTCCTGGCAGGTCCTGTAACAGGGCGGGCTTAATAAATCAATCTGTTAATGGCTGATGCCTGACAGTCTCACAACTGTCCCCCCCCCGTTGAAAATTGTTACACCACTGTTGGGATATTGAGCTTGTACATGCGGCTGATAAGGGATATAATTGAGTACATCACATTGTCCAAGAAAGTCTTCAAGAGTCCATCAAAAGTCAGCCAGTCTTCATCCAAGCTACAAGAGGCTCAAATGAACTGTGGCAACAGTGGTTCTTCCCAATTTTCAATGTGGTAGTTGTGATTGGATTATGGAAAAGAACTGGTGACTAGTCTAGCTTGGAAAAGACTCAAGTGATGCCCTGTTTATGGGGCTTTTGGGTCTTGACTCCAGATCCCTCTTTCTGGGGGCGAAGCAGGAATTTCTTGAGGGGTGGGGTGAGTGACAGGAACGTCAAATTCTCAAGTTCCCTTGTTGCAGACACACCTGACGACACCTAGATTATGTATTGCATTGTTACTGATACAATTACTTTTCTAAACATACTCACAGTATAGTGTCATCTTTGAAATTTATTTACTGTAATTGTTCTTTAACTGTTTTCTCTTTCTTTTGAGTCAAAACAGGGCAGTGAGGTTGACCCATGCTTTATATAGGCCTTGACAGGATTACATGGGATTTAAAAAATGACGTCATTGTGCAATTACAAAATGACTTCCACAGGCACTGAATTATTGCCGGTTAAGGCCCATGTCTTGTGGCAAGGGCCAAGAACAAGGTGTCGAAACACAACATCTTAGTAATTGCATGGATTTGCCCAGATCCACACAATGTTTTCAACTCGCTGAATTTGAAGAAATTTGGAGATATTTTGGGGTTTGTGCTAACTGTGCCAAAGGCAGCAGATTGCTCAAGGAAGGTATCAACAAAAATCAAGCATAAAATAACATTCACAGTTTAAAGTAGTATTTTCATCAAAGTTCTGTAAGTAAATGAAAACAATGGAATGTCTACACTAGGTGTATAATGCTCAGAGGTATACCACTCACTAGATCCCAGGGGACGCACTTCTTCATTGTCTGGTCCAAGCCACTTGGGGTTGGTGTACGGACTGTCTTCCGCCACCTCGCATATGATCCTCAGGTTATCACCGATGCTTGGCACAGTGGGGACTTTATTTGGGGAGACGACAATCCAACGGTCCAGACCTGAACGTAAAGCACACATGAAGGGTTTATTTCCAAAATGCGATATACACATTTGAAAAAAGTGCAATATTTTCACAAAACAGTAAAGATCAATGAGTGTAGGTGCCCCTAAACTTCAATTTTATCTGGACTGACTCATTAAGCTTTCAAACTGACTGTAGGAAACTGAGACAGCAGGATTCTGAATGTACCAAAATGCCACTGATCGCATTTTGGAAATAACTTTACAAATAACACAGGCTTTATGTAATGCACATTTTTTACAAAACCTTTAAAAGCTGAAGTTACCCTTTACAATTCAATTAACATTACCTTGAATTTATGTTTTTCTATTTTAAAAAAGGTGACAAATGCCTTTTTTATGTTGATAATAATGCCACTTGCCATGAGCAAAACTATGATATATTTCCAGGTAGAAAACCTCAAAATTTTCCCTAATTTTTTTGATATGTTGCTGTCCTACGTTTCATTTTCTTAGGCAATTCAATGCTGAGTAAGTTCATGGCAATAAGTGAATGGGGAAACTTTTCTGAAAGTTGTTTTCAAAATAGTGAATTATCATGCCTTCAGAAAATTTCAATAAAACAAAATATAAAAAGTTTGTACATAGGGTAAAGGACACAGAAACTGTTGAGGCCGGAGTCTGTACTTACCAGTGACTTGCAGATTTATCCTCGATGATAGAGTACCAGTGACACATCGATAGGAACCAGAATCTTCTAGAAGTAGACCACTGAAGACAAGGCGGGTGGAGTGGTCATTTTCAGCCACTGCATACAGGTGGCCTTAAAAAAGAAAAAAAATCCAGAAAGTTTACATTTCTACAAATAGAGCAAACTCTCATCAGCTCAAAATTGGACTACCAGAAACTCTGTATACCTCAAAGTCATAAGTTATTCCCGTCAAGAGGACAGGATATTAGTTACTTGAACATCCCCATAACTGGAAAACACTGGCAGCAGAAGTGGGGAGCAGTGACCCCACACTTTTGCGATTGAGGGGCTTGTCTCCTACTCCCAAAATACACGCATCTGGGGGGTCTTGACGGTCTCACAACTGGCTCCCCCCACTTGTGAAATGACTGTTTAACTCAAAGACCAATACATAGGGTCACTGAACAAGTGAGTTTACAGATGACAGCCAGGGGTAAAATTGGACAACAATGAAATATCCATGAAATAATCACTAATGGTTTTGCGGGCCCCCAGCAGCATAGGGTCTATGGTATACATTTGTGTCTGCTTTAAGGCAACCTTTAAAATATCCATGCCTTATATTTTTTATCAACTTTTATACCCAAAACACCTTTATGGTAAACTCAGGCTTTTCCAGATTATAAAAGAAATTGCTTGAAATAACATGAGATCAGGAAAATCCTGATAAAAACATATCCTAACATCAGGAAAAATCCTGACAAATTTCATCCTTGGACAGTATTTCCCACCTTCCGTTGCCTTGGGAATAATCTCGCCATTCTTGTCCAGCCATACGGGCATCTGGAACTCACTGGTCGGGGGGACCTCACAGAGGAACTCTAGATTCTGGCCCACGACGGGAAAGAGGACATCTGGACCCACAATACGCATCCTGTTATCTGGAACTGATGAAAAGGAAAAGCTATGTAACAACTGCCCATACACTGACTGCACTGCATGCTGAGAATCATCTTCAAGCAAACTCACACTGTGAATCCCGATCGGTCAATCCATAGCAAAGACAGTGTGGTATCACCCTTTACTGCATGGTCTACATGGTATGCCACATATTGCACTGAATTCCACATCCTGCGCTCTTTGAAGCTTGAATGCACAGCATGTGTGGAGTTACATATGCAAAGCTGGCGCATTTGCTTTTTATTACGAGTAACACAGTCTATATCCACCTGGTCCATTTCCAAATTCAATTAAATCTCCCCTATTTCAGGGTGAAACATATATAAATAGGTCTTTTGATAAAGTTTTGGTTGTTCTTCATTATTTTGGATGCCAATCAGCCAAACAATGCTGAAATGAATGCTGAAAATTCCAAAACTTGTGGAATTGTCTTGCTAAATAACATCTGATCATGGAGGTGGGTGTGTTGAGGTACGTGTATCTGCCTGTGTATACCTCCTTGTGAAGTGGTTAGATGGTGTTTGGCGGACTATAATGAAAGGAAACCAAGTAGGGCACAATGTCTAACTTACCATTTGTCTCGCACTGTTCACCAGTGAAACCATCTAAACACTGGCACTGACCAAGGACACATTGGCCTCCGTTCAAGCATTCGTTCTCACATTGCGGAACTAAATTCATTACAAATTAAAAAAAAAATGTGTTAAGCATTTTTACGTTACCAACATTGAGAAGTAGTAAAAAGCAATATACATGACAAGTTATTTCACCTTGCAGTCTGGGTCCTATTTCATGCCTTGCTTCCAGAGTTTTCTTGGGGATCGGGAAGAATTACTCTTTTACTTCAAAACATTTAAAACTGCTGACTTGACAATTAAGAGTGAAAATCGCTCTGAATTCAGATTGAAAATGAACCGTTTCCAACGTGTAAGCTCAAGTGAAATCTAATTGCTTCCAGAGTTTATAATTTTGGAGGATCGGGAACAATTACTCTTTTTACTTCAAAATATTTAAAACTATGGACTTCACTATTTTGAGCAAAAATTCCTCTGAATATAGATTTAAAAAGAACCACTTCCATCGTGTAAGCTTTATTGAAATCAAATGCCTTCTGGAGTTTTATTTTAGGGGGGTCGGAAACAATTACTCCTTCAATTCAAAACATTTGAAACTGTGGGCTTGACTATTTAGCGTGAAAATTGCTTTGAATTTAGACTGAAAAAGAACCACTTCCATTGTGTAAGCTCAAGTGAAATCTAATCACTTGGATTTATTTTTTGTTCCAGTTTTCAAGAGAGTGAATTTTCACCTGAATAGAATGAATTGTCACTCTTTGGCATTTCAAAAGCACAGAAGAGGATGAAAACTGTCCTTGGCAATTACTACATGACCCCCATTTGCATAATACCATTAGTGATTGAGAGTGTTGATTTTGAAGAAGGGAAAGAATTCTGAGGCCCCAGAAGAAAACCACTCAAAGCACAGCAGGGAATTATCGAGCTACTATTCTCACACAAAGCCATGGCCAGGGAATCGAACCTGGGCCACAAAGGTGAGAGGAGAGTGCCTCACACACTTGCCACCCACACCAAGCACCATCAAATAAATTCCTAGCTTTCAATAACATACATTTAATCTTTAGGCAACAGTTCCTGGTTTAGCAAACAGAGGGTTTGAGGGAGTAAGAACATTTGGTCGTTCAACATACTTGCAGCATAAACATGGAGACAATGAGTGGCAATAGAGACAAGGTACCTGATAGACCAGACAGATGCCAGTCTATTTCCTGGAACTCAACATCATTGACATAAGCACTTGGATTCATGTAAACAGTGTTTGGAGTCCCAACTGTTTCTGGATTCAATACTTACCAGTAACAACAATGTTGAATTCTGAGGAGTGTGGGCCGGCACTGCATGTGTATTGCCCTGAGTCACTGGGTGTCAGTCCTCGGATGTACAGTCTGGTTGATCGGGGTGACTCCACAGCAACAAACATATGCTCATTGCGACCTAAAGCAAAATGATTTAATACTTCATGCGGCAGAGATGGAACTGCTGTCGGTAGTGACGTTGTCAAGAAAATTCAAGAGACCTTTCACAACATAAGGTACCTTTCCACATGTACGTTTTCCGGTGCATTGTGTGAAAGATGCGCTCATGTGCTTTACTTCAATAATGGACGCAAAATCAACTCCATGTGTGCATTACATTCGGCCATCAAGTTTGCCCCGGGAGCGATTTTGAGGGATGCGCAGCGCTTGGCATAAGTGGTGACGCGTGTATGGAAAGGCGCCTTCGCAGGGTGAGCAATGACGAAGGAATTTTTTGTTGCAGTTGGAGTGCACAGCTAGTGACTTGAATTCAGATTGAAGGTCCTGTGTTGTTGATCTTAAGGCAGTCTTAGGTCTCAACAACAACACTGGTCGTTGGACTGTCAGTTGAAATGAAAAAAGTGTCAATATAAAGTGTGAAGGATCTGTGGAGGAGGTCTCTTAACAACTATGGCTTCTCTTGGTACCACTTGAGACAGATTGGTGGCTCAAAGATGAATCAACAGGGAGTTGCTCCCCCCATGAAAGGATTCAAGATCCACCCTTGACCCCCCGACCCTCCCCATTTCTCCCTTTAAATGCACCAAAGGGTCATTATGGGGTCATGATCATGGAAATGTGTGGGGAAAGAGAGAAAAACTCACCCGGCATGTAGGAATCGATGATGATGTTGTCCGGGCTCAGCCAGGTGGGATTCCGGAAGGGTCGCTCGGCCGGGATCTCACAGAGGAAGCTGATGTCTTGGCCAATACGAGGAGTAAGGGTGTCAGGAATGATGACGAGTACATCCTCTGAAGACAGACAGAACAAATAAAAAAAGGAAACTGAAGCAACTTAAGTCACTAACGCATGTGTCAGTCAAGTCCATCACAAATCAAGAAACAACTGATGCACGAAGAAAAAGAAATACTGTAATCACAGTTCATTTCAAAACAGTGTTGAGCCAGGCTCTTCTGGCAGGGGGGTTCCCAGAATCTTGTTAAAAAGTTCTATGTCCAGACGAAATTAACATACATAAGCACACTAAAAATATATGATATAAACACTGATACAAGTTTTGCATTTACCTTTGGTCTGGCACTGGTCTCCGGTGTAGTCCTGTGGACACACACACTGCTGATTGATGCAACTTCCGCCATTGAGGCAAGGTGAAATGCAGTCAATGTTGCCACCTGGTATAAGAATAACAGTAACATACTCCCTTATTTTCTAATTGTTATTCAACAACGAAAAGCTGTTACCCACAAGAAGGAAATTTTATATGAAATTGCGGTCCTTGAAAATGGAAATTTTTCAGGCATAATCAAGTTAAACACGTTTGTTTCATGTGTAAGTTTACAAAAAAAAAATCCTCAATGAAAAACTAACTGTTCCTTCTAGCCAGACTTTTAATGATAATTTCCTTGACTGCTCCTCTTCAATATACAACTGATAATCCTAACCCCAAAATGCTCTATAACTACTATATTTCATGAATGGGGAAACCAGCTCAAGTATCTGTGGAAGTCTACAAAAAATTCTTCAAGCCCCAGGTTATGTGAACTTGTCTTGTTTTTAGTCCACATATTAAAAGTTTGGGCAACAAATTCAGTCTGGTCCACAGTTAGGTGAGCAATTTTTCAACAATCCCCACTGCAGGCAAATGTACACAATATGTAACATCCCCTTCTGATAAACCCTTTTAAATGAATTAAAATCACAATGTCATTGTTTCATTGAACCAAACAATAATGGGCCAAGTAATGATTGGCTTATTTTTGTGACGTAGTACATACGGAATACCCAGCAAATACAAACGGTTCCCTCAGTCAACAGCATGCACAGACCTGGAATGTTAATGGTGAAGTCTACCGACAGAGGACCAGTGACACAGGTGTATGTTCCCCTGTCAGAACGCCGGACCCCAGTGAAGTAGAGCCTAGTTAGGTGATCCGACTCAGCAACTGCGTACAGGTGACCTGCACAAAGCAACCAATAAAAACAGCCATCTCACCAAACTGTGTTTGACTGAGTTTACACATCAAATCTCTTGCTAAGTGAGAATGGGAACCTCACAAATGGACATCTCAATCTACTAAGCACTGGAATGTCATCCATCCAAACCTCATACTAAATTATTCAGAGATCCCTCAACCTCTAAAACCTTCTCCCGCAACTATGATCATTTAGTTCTTGTTTCAAATTTCTTGTAGCCCATTCTATAATTGCTTTGAGTATTTCCTATTGTGTTTTTTTACACCTTACCTGGCGATTCTGCATCTTCATTGGCCAAGAGCCGGTATGATATTCGCCTTGTTAGCTATCTTGCTGTACATGGCCAAAAGAACTATACCCATAGCAACTACAGAACTATACTCGTAGCAGCCAAAAATTATAGACGTGACCATTGTGTACAATCATGCATCAAGCCCGCTCCGAAGCACTAGTGCTACTAAATTTTCAACAAATTTCTTATTCACATAGATGCACCTTTATACATAGATCAAATTCAGCGGTCATCACTTTATAAATCAAGCCAAGTCTGAGGAAGAGGTGTAAAATAAATATTGACAGCTCGGTAATCAACTCACCATGGATCACCTGGGGAGGCTAGTTTTTATACTACACAATTTGTAGCAGTCAATATTTTTAAATTATGCATCCTTTGGTAGAAACTATCTGTTATCAACAAACCATGTGGGCCTGGTGAGCATACTAGCAATGACAGAAACCTCTTGTACTGCAACCAAGCCTCATCCAAAGTGAGGTGTCCGGCATATAGTTACATGCAACATTTATTAAATGGTGCTGCTTAAAGGTACAGTCCATCATTTATCATCTGTGCACTATCTTAATTGGAAGTAACAAAAATGCTCAAATTCTAAAAAGTGATGCTTTAAAACTGACCTTAAACAGCTAGTGAGCTCAGTGAATGACGCATATATGTATTAAGAGAAAACTGGTATTCTGGGAACTTGCCCCTAAGCTTTCATTCAGCCGATTGGAGCTACACAATGTTTTGCACTAAACCAAGCAATTGTAGCAACTACACACTCATGAAAATCACATTAACATATGCATGAAATTTGCTGCATTAGTCTCACAGTTACCTTTAAACAGAACATGCCTTTCAACACGAGTTTGTTTCTCACTTCATGCACAGCTACGAATGTAGAACTGTGCTCTGAACCTCACACAACAAAGCAGTATTCCTCATGAGTGAGGCATTTCCAAAATTAAAAAGTGGTAGACACTGCCAAGATATGCTTCCTACCTTGTGTACTCTTGGGCACCATCTGCCTGCTGGCATCCAGCCATATGGGCATGGTGTACTGGCTGTTAAGTGGAACCTCGCACAGTACACTGAAATTGCCTCCAAGGCGAGGTGTCTCGTCGGGTCGGATGATGCGGATTGGGAAAACCACATCTGAATAATGAAAAACAAACAATAGTCTCAATCCAAACAGCCAAAATGGGGGCCAACCCAATGTGTAGATGCAAACGGCAAAATAACAAGCGCATAAAATGGAAGACAATACACTACTGCTGTTAAAAGTTAGATCCCTGGATACGCAATACCCAACCAACAATGGGAGAAACCTTTATTAAACCCAGAAGTTTTCTTACATCATCTTAATACCTATTCTATTTCATTATTAAAAACATTTTTCAAGAATTAAAAAACATGCTGATAAATGAAGTCAACCTTTTCGGCAAGAACGGCTGATAAAAATGGAACAAATCAATGTTTCTACTTCTGAAGAATACTTTGAAACTTCAGTTTCGTTAATTTTATGAGGCACAGTAAGGCAGCACTGTGCGGAAAGCTTCACAGAGGAGTCATGCAGTGGCAACCAGCTTTACATCTAGGCTTCAGGATTGTAAAAGCAATCGTGTAAGATGTTCCAGGACAGAAACTGGCTATATGGGAAATGGGTTCCAATATGACACCTGCCAGAGCACACCCGCTCCATTGCTACCCTTCGGCAGTGGGGGAAGGGAAAAAGTGCCAGCTGAAAGGGGGGCGTATCACAAGAACAATATATAATATTGATGCTTATGGTTTGTGCGTGATGGGGGCAGCTGCTCATCTAGAGAGAGGGTAAAGGCTGCCCCTCCCGGTACCCAAGCGATGGACCTGGAGCCTACTGTACATTAGACTGGCACGCAAGACTTAACATTGAAAAATTAATCAGGCACGCAAGACTTAACATTGAAAAATTAATCAGTTCACATATGTATGAAGTCAGTTTAAAAAGGCATAAACTTATAATACTAAGTCTTTTAATCCAAAGCATTGCAACCTTCACAATTTTTTGCCATCCTAATAATGAAAAGTTAATTCCTCAACAGTTTCCTTTGTTCTAAAAAGTTTAACAGACTTATGCTAATCACACATACACTGTAAACGTCAACACCAAAATTTCACACTCCACTGAAAATTTCAGGTTTTTAAATGTATTTTTATGTCAGATTGTCAAGCTATCAAATCTTAACCCTGTACATAAATGTATAACCCATATCTGATAAGGAACAAGGAATAAAGTTGCACTAAAGAGTGCTAATGGTGAACAAGATGACATTATGCATATAACAAAATTGCTGCTGGTATAAAAACTGCCCCTTAAAAACTTTTAGGGTGATATGCTGGAATCTATTAGGCAGAGTTATCCTACCTGCCGTGATCATCAATTAATATCTTGTTTTGTCAAATGCAATTACCCTGATGGACTTTACCTGGCGTCTGGCATCTGTTGCCTGTCCAACTGGGGGGGCATCTACACTTGCCATTCACACATCGGCCGCCATTGATGCACGGTGGAATGCACTCTTGAACTGAAATGAACCGTAAACAAAAATTAAAGACAAAAAAATTGAACAGATGTCATTACACACTGATCTCTCAATACTGAGCTTCTTCAGCCAGGAGATTATTGAATGCACAACCAAGTTTTCATTGACATGGTTGAGTGATTCAAGAATAAGTCATGCATCCTGACAGTTGGGTGTAACTGAATTGTCTCCAGTGTGACAATCAAATAACACTGACTGAAAACAAAACTTTGGCCTTGTCTCTCTCTATCAAAATTACAGTACTTTTCACTGAAATACAAGAATACAAAGGGATAGAGGAGGCTAAGGCCCTGTATTATTATACGTCTGCATTTTAAAGAACCTGACGATATCCTCTGGACAGGCTGCTCAATTTTCAAAACATGAAGAAGCCGTAATTCTGACTATAGCTGGAAAACTCGCATCCTGTATATCACATCATGCATCACCTGGTATGTTGATCACCAGTTGGGCTGAGAAGGGTCCGGCTTGGCATTGGTAGTTGCCCCGGTCCTCTTCGCTCACCATCTCAATCACAAGTCTGGTGCTGAATGGACTGGTTTGCTCGGTGTGCAGCCGCATGGTCCCCCCTGTGAGAAAATAACACACACAATGCTCAGAATGCTCCCTGGCAGGCAAAGGCTACTCTCTGTGAACATTTAACCTTAAAGTCTCAGTTAAGTACAACTTGGCCATGAAACTGATCCCCAAGGGCTGTTTCAAGAACATTTACCAAGGGCTTACTACACTCCCATGAGGGATATTTAATTACCCCTAAAGTTTACTACCAGGATTTGCCATTATGTAGCCACCACTGGTCCACTAGTAACCTGGTAAGGACAGACGCAAATTACACACAATCATCTGCCAATGGCTGGACACGAGTTTAGGTACTTTGGAGTCAACATTGGACAACTAGGCCTCACTGACTGGGTTATCAGTCACTGACCTAGATGTAGAAATTGGAAAATTGAAACACTGCACAACCCCCTTGTTTCCCAAGAGCTGCATTGACTTCTAGATTTGACACTCCTATTGCTTCACTAACCCAAGCTTATCAATGGTATGAATTTCTTCTGTCAACTTTGAATTCTCTTTCTCCTTTAATGCGACAGTTACAAGTATATGTGGCAATGGATTTTTGTTTCCTTTATTTGGTTTGGTCTCATGCCCATTGCTCACCCCGGGCCATAGTGTTGATCTGTCTCCCATCTGGACCACGCCATATTGGATTCCTGTAAAACCCTGACGGATGCACCACACAGTCTATGGTCAGGTTGTCGCCGAAGGACGGAGACGGGTTCTCAAGGGGCAGGATTCGAATGTTGAATGGCGGAACTAAGGACAAACAGTTTTACAACAAAAAAATTAATAATTTGTCCTTGCATGGCCCCCCAAAAAGCCAGTGCTGTACTCGAGTCAACCACAAGTTTCTACAAGTCGATGACAAGTCATTCAGTCTTAAAGCAAGTCACAAGCTATTCAAATAAACTGCATTAAAAGCATTCTTTGTCACTGTTCATCCCATTAAATATAAATGGTTATGTGAAAAGATTTGTGACTGGACTTGTGAAAGGATTGGACTTATGGTAGGCTCAGGAAGAATGTGGTTGTTTTCCCCTAGAATATATTAATCAACCAAAAACGGCCACATATCTCCGTAACACTGCTTAAAGACATAAAGCTCGGTCAGTACCATGATCTTGAGGAGTTAGATTTTGCAATGTTTCTATATCTTGTTTAATTTGTCATTTACTAAACCTCTGCAGATAAACATCTAATACAATTCCACACAGTGTTATGTTAAACTTCATGGTCTTTACAATAAACCTGTGAACTGAAAGGTCAGTTATTGCACCATCTATTTTGAAAATTTGTTACACAAATAAATAAAAAAATAAAAACAGGTTCAGTTATTGTTTTCAGTTACAATCAATAGAGAGGAGTTTTATTTTCCTTCAAGTGTTAATAGTAACCTTCTGCCCTAATTGTGCTGGTGCCTTGCTGAACCTAACAACATCCAACAGCAATGATGTGTGAAGAAAGTTGAATCCTTCATATAAATGAGAAAATGTGTTGATTCAGCATCTTTATAGACTACCAGAGATGTACATGTAATCAGCAATCTGCCTTGAGCAGAAGCACCCCGTCATTGGTTGAAAAGATCCACGTCTGAGTGGAGTGTTAACTTTTGTTGGTAGCTACACACCTGCAATGCACGCATTTCACAGTCGTTTGTAACTCTGCGAAGTACGGTTCCCACCAAAGGAAACGCTGTTGCTAAGAAAATTGCACCTTCTCTTTGGCGCGCTCGGGGCTCCCATGCCAATTCAAGTTTGGTGTGTCATTGCACCAGATCCAGTACTGGGAATTTACATGGACACACTACATCTTATATCAGTTGTATTTTATGAGAGGCCAGAGACATTATAGCATAAGTGCTCTCATGACACTTTTTCACAGAATTTATACATCTGAATATATGACCATTGTCTGTACATCTCTGTATATTTGGATTACAAAAAATGGTACTTCTCAGATAAAATATACCACTGAAGTTTTCCACCGCGCATCTGTTTCATATTTCCTTCACGTTATTTGTGCAAAGACAGCCCAAATAGTTCAACTTGTTCAAGGGGAAGCTAACATGCACTCAGCTAGGAAATACCACTTCTCTTTGAGGTAATGTCTAAAATAAGGGTCAACATACCAAAGGTTTCACACTGGGTGCCAACATAGTTGTCTGGGCACTGACACAAACCATCCACACACGTGCCACTGTTAGAGCAAGGGGGATCACAAGGACGACCTGAAAACAAAGAAAAGACCTTTTTCTTGAAGTCTCATCAATTCATGTGAAAAGAATAAGACAAAGGTACATGTTCCAAGTCCACTGCATCATGCCAACCATTCATTTCGACCAAGACAAAGGTTGTTTTGTTGGTGTGACAAGCAACTTTTTAAAGTACCTTGGATTTGGAGGGTTAGGTCCCTGTAGAGAGGACCAGCTGTGCAGACATAGGTGCCGGAGTCCGAGGTGCTAAGTCCCGAGATGACCAGTCGGGTGCTGTACTCATTGATGATGACCACACTAAGATGCTCACTTCCTCCTGAGACACATAAGAAATTCCACAGGTGCTCGGTTCAGGTGCCAAACTTAAGGTACTAATGGCTTTAAACCTAAGTATACTCATTGTTGAAATGATGGTAATGTGGTCACTACTTCCTGGGACTAACAAGAAGTTCAATGAGTGCTAGAGCAGCCAATTAAAGTTACTACTGTGACAATACAATAAATTGGTATATTTATTGTCGGTACCACATAAAATGGTTACTTCAATCTTGAAAAGCTTGGAAAGGTTGCAAAGTTAAGATACTCAGGGCTTAAACTGCTCACTTCCTGTACTGAAAACTCAGTAACTGCTGGGTTTCAATTTTAAAATAAAAATAAAAATCACCTTGCTCTTTTGTGAAGACTCGCTGTCCACTACTGTTCCTCCACACTGGATTACGGAACCTGCTTTCATACCCCACTTCACACGTGAAGCTCACATCATCGCCAACCATTGGCATGAGGTTTTCGGGGATGACAATCCGGATGTCAAAACCGACTTTAAATTAGAGAAAAAAGTGTCACGTTGACTACCAATTCACAAACAACAAGACAACTCATGCATTCCTTGTATACAATGCAGACAGCATTGGTATTACAGGTCCGATATTGATCATTAAACAACAGCATACCAAAGGTCTGATGAAACATGAACAAAAATGGCGACAGCCACTACAGTCGGCATAAAAACCCAGACTAAATCTACCACTGGCTGACATACTTATTGTGCCGCTGAATGCACTGCTGAGAAGAGATTTAACATCTACATATGTGGAAACCTGCATTTCACACTTTGGCTTGAGTTTGTGCTTACATGGTATTTCACACTGTTCTCCCCGATAGTTGTTTGGACATTCACAGGTGCTGCTGACACACCGTCCACCATTGAAGCAAGGCCGGCTGCAACCCACTGCAGAAAAAACCAATGGTGCAAGTGTAATGCAGTATATGCACTAGAAATGAAGGCATTAATGATACATCTACCATCTAATGCTGTTAAGCACATGCAGACGGTATTACGTTGGCCAAAAACTTTGATTTTTGAAAAGGGCAAGATTTAAAGACTAATTTTTCATAAATGCCTAATGTCTAAAATACTGCTTCGTTAGGGTAGTTACAGTATTTGTGCGAGATTTCTCACTACACTCCAATCTTGCTCAATCTCCAACACCCACCAATCAGAGGACAAAACACTCCTTGAGTTCCTCAAGCCTATTTCTCATGTTACCATGTCCAAACCGTTGATTGATATTCACTGAGGCTGTCTATTGGACTCAGCCCCAAGATTGAGATCCACTTGGCTTGAGAGGCTGTAGTCTGAAAACAGCCTTCTAGGCGTCAACCTCAAGATTGACTTCAAACCATGTAAGCTCTACAAGGTCTTTTCTACACTACAGCTTCTCAACCCGGGTAGAACTCAACCCTTGGAAAATGACTGCCCTGGTTTGAAAATTTGACTTTTCAACCCCGTATTTTAATCCCACATTTTTCTGGCTTTATTTTGTGACAACTGAGCATATCAGGGTGAGTTTAACCTGGAGATGAACACGGACAATGTTTGACTTGAGATAAAGAAATCTCCACCCTGGTCTGGAGCAGGGTTGAGTTCATCCCTGGGTTGAAGTCAATCTTGGGATTGATGCAGGGTTGGCACGGAGTTGAACATTTGCAAGCGTGAATCGGTGCCAGTTTCCAACTCTGCATCAACCCTGCATCACAACCCTGGGATTCATCTTGTGTGACAAGGCCCTACACAGAATGTGCCAGTTCAGTACTTTGCATAGTACACATCAGTTAACTGGTACCCGAACACTAGCAGCAGCCAAACCAGGGTTCTCAGTGTAGGGGTGAGGAAGAGAGGTGGGTGATACAATTCCCATTATTTTCTGAATTTTCATTGGGGAGGGTGCGACTACAATTTTTCATGCAGGGCACTAGAAGCCTCCTCCAAGTTATCCCCTTGGCAACGATGCTGAGTGCTGGGCAAATTGTCAGTGCAATAGAAATGAAGAACTTGAAATGACTGGTCCTGCAATCATTTTTAGGTTTTGTTTTATCGTGCCCAGTTCTGCAATGAAGCACTTTGACCCAAGATGAAACTTGTCGACAGCATGCCAATAGTAAAACAACTGCAAAAAATACCAATGCCATGTGAACATGTTCCCTGGCTGTCTCGGTCTCCTGCTCTCAAGTACTCTCTAATGGTGTCTGGTATCATAATGCCTCCAGTGAATGCTTTCCACATTCAACAGATGCTTATGTTACTAGCTCTGTACAACCTGTATGTTGTTCTTGAACTTCTGTAGGTTTTGTCAGTATAGTTCTTTGTTAACTTCATAAAGTGGCGTCTCCACTGGACAAGCTCTTGCTTCTTGGAGACCACCGTCCATGCACAATTTAATGTGTTCCGAATTTCTATCTGTCCATCTATGTGCTGGTAAAAATAAAAGATCTATGATGTTCACCTTCAATAAAGACCTCTTGGGTCGTGCTGAGGGGACCAACAGCGCACGTGTAGATGCCTTCATCGCTGAGCTGCAAGTCAAGGATAATGAGCTCCGATGCGAGATACGACAACTCCCGGACAAAAACACGACTGCTGCTGCCAAAGTCTGGGATCAAGGTCAAGCCAATGAAAAAGTAAGATAAAGTTAATTGAGTTTGGAGCTCATCAACGAGGTTGCACACAGAGCAATATTTCTTGAAAGTCTGGAAGAAATCTGAAGTTCACAAGATAGAGAACTCCATAATATGTAAGGTACACAGTCCTATACATGTTGTCAGGGGAGGGGGATGTCTACCTCTACCCTTCCCTCCTTTACCCCCTTATTCCAATCCCCTTATACCCCTTCTCTGGGGGAAATGCAGTCAATCCCGATAGGCATCTTTACGATCAGGCACATGCTACTTGAGATTCGGAAGAAACAAAGAAATTCCGATCCAACATACTCCGTACAATATTTTTCAGTGTGCCTTGGTATAAATGACATTTTCTACAAAAAGTTTACTTCCAAATGTAATACACGTATACCCAATTGAAAATATGACCTTTCCCCATGACTGTGACATGGTAAAGTATACAAACAGTTTGCAAGGGGGAATTAAAACAAACTTCATTTTTCACTGCATTTATTCATTAAGTTGTGTTAAATTGTTACTATCGAAAGGAAAGGGTCGAATCCCAAATGGTATGAAAATGATGCTTATCATGTTTTAAAATGTTTTCTTTAAATGAGGTTAAAACCTATGTCTGGTTATGGGTATCCACATGGATGTCTTACAATCCATCCTGAAGTCCCATCAACCCAGTTCAGTTTATTTAACTATACCTAATAGAATTTCTAGCCCAAGATGTCTACTGCCACAGTCCTAATGTAGGCCTACCTTGTCCGGCTGGGTATATCTGTTGCCCGCTAGGGCCCAGCCATGATGGGTTCCTGTAGCCAGCTCTCTCAGACACCTCGCAGATGAATGTGATGTTGTAGCCAATCCGAGGAACTTCTGTTGGTGGGGGCTGGATGCGGATGTCAAACGCTTAGACAGAAACGTACGAACCTTTGTGTTATAAAGATATTCTGATCCATTTCTATACAAAACTGAACACAGCTAAGCAAAGTAATGTAAAAGTACTCATTGTCTGTCCAAGTAAATCCACAGGTCAGGTCACAAGCAATATAAAAATTAATAATCAGAATTCAATAAACATTGTATAATAGCAATGGACTTAATTCTGAGGACTTGTTGATAATATAATATACTACGTGTACATAACATGTACTTAACCACTAGTTTGTTGATTTCTGGCGTCTGTCTGGTGGCTGCCTATTTTTTAGTATTAAAGCTTTGTATTCCATGTAAACTAAGTCCTATCAAATCTTGATTAGTCACTGATGTGAGTGATTCATGAAAATAGCAAAGTAAATCATTCTATTTGAATTACAGCGGGCACAACACTGGGCATTACTTGATTTGGGTAAAATCTGTGCTTGCTCAAAATTTACCCCCTTCACATAGCGCCCTCCTATCTTGTCTGCTATATATACTTCAAACATGCTGATAGGTTTCCATGTTTCCAAATCTTTGTCTTCCCTTTGTGAACCTTTATGAGTATGATAAATATAATTGAAGATACAACAAATTGTCAAACAGCTGTAAAGAAATCTCAATCGAGAAGGGGCAGCAGTGCCTAACAGCAAAAAATTGTGATAGGCCAATCTTAACAAAAGTACACAACGCTGAGGTTGTGACTGTCAGCAAACAGGTGAAAATTTTTGACTGTTTAGATTTTTTTCCGTTTTAAACAAACAGTAATCTGTCTTTTCCTAAACCTCTGTAGATTTGGGTTTAAATTCTGCCTGTGTACCCCTTCTTAAAGCCACATGGTGCAGATGCAAGAAAGCGTAAAGCAGTATAGTATGCACTACTCTGCAAAGGCACTACGGCTAAAGATGACAAAGCACATGCTCCAACGCTAAAAGCAAAGGCAAGAAGCAGCAGATTTGAAACAAGTGACTGAAGAGGAGGAGGAGGTAAAGCTGTAGAAAGACAAAAATTAGAGCTAAAATCTAATCCTGCTTTATTTTCCACCAAAAAGTGAGCAGTACTCAAATTTTGAAACATTCCCTGATCAAGTGTAACCATTCGGCCCAATGGAGTGGCCACTGAAAATGGTGTCCCAAAGGCACAGACATACATGTGCATGTCTTCACCACAGATAGCTATTTGATAGACCATTTCAAAAAAGTGGGGGGGGGGTTGCAGGGGCAGGATTCCCATCAGAACTCGGCTGTTCCATGTCCTTTTGTTAACTGCTCATGCATGTAAAGACATTCATTTCAGGAACAAATGCTATGCTACAACTCAATATGAACTTTAGTTTGTTCTGCCAGTCAGTTAAGTTCAAAGCCGGCATCTAGCAAGTCAATGGAGAAAAGTATTTGGACGACTCGTCTCGGAAAAATGGGCACTGTGCAACAGCTGTATGTCAGATTTGCACAAAGTTGGAGTAAAAATAACTGCAATATAATAAATGTACTTAAACCCTATGTGGCTCGGCACATGTTAACAAAACGCACTGTGATGATATTGGGGTAAAAAATGTTGCCGTACTCCATATGTGACAGCAAATGATATAGCTTGCATGTATAGAAGCCAAGTATGATACCAAAGCGACACTACCCTATCCACCAACAGGACCAACTGGGCTATCACAGTAAATTTAATACAAATCTAGATGGAGCACCATGTTATGTTCGGGATAAGGGCAAAAACCTTGAAGCCTTTACCAATATCGAAACATGTTGAAACAAAATGCAAACCTTGAAAACAATCCTGTAAAAGCTGCTACAAAAGGCTCTGGAAGGCGGGCAAATAAAATGGGCGTATTATGACAAGCCATGCGATCACACCTCATGCAGCTTTTAAAACAGGGTGCACGCTGATTTCCATGCAAAGCATTTTCCGGCGAACTTAGCAACTTGGAGGACTACATGTCCATTATGCAACCCCCCAAAAAACTGTCCATTCCACAAAATCATGGTCCCATATTAAAAAATCACTGCTTTTCCACACCAAACTTAAATATCATGTGACAAGACCAGCCACAGCTTGTATGAACTGAAGAAAAATTTGCCCGTATCCTGACTTTAGGATTCACTTTCTAAGCTGACAGAGTTTTGTTCAGAGGAGGAATTTGCCCCATAGTCTCTAGTACACAAATATTCACTGCTTCATGCAGTATTGCAACACCAGCCTCTCAAGGTGATCCATGAAGCATTGTACTCTCCTGAGGTGAATCACCAAGGGAGGCTTTGCTTTACTGCACTGCAAGATGAAGCAAATATTTCTTAACTAACACCCCCAACACACAAACAGATTCTCCGTCAAGAATTTTGTTGAAAATGTACCTGCAAACTTTCTGAACAATGTCTACATCTCACAGAAAGTTGAACTAAGCTCTAGTTCGGATTATGCATTTACACACAGTGCTAATGGTGCTGCATAGAGCTGTTTAGTAGCTACAGGTATAGTGCTTTGGTTGTTGTAAGGACATCGTTCTCTTGGCTGTGAAAGCAAGATAGCCAAAATGAGCAAATACATGTATCTTGTGACTACTTCTCGGCTAATTACGATGAAAAACCTGTGAGTGAGATACTGCTGCTGTTGAAGAAGGAGCACATACTACAAATCTAGGTGAATCTTCTACCAAACAAAAGCAGGGATCTGTGTCCAAGCCATGCATGTCGGGCAAAGTCTCAGCAGCCATAGGAATCCTTTTTTCTAAAGCTTACTTGCCACTTGGCACATGTCGCCGCGGTAACCCTCCGCGCACTCACACCGCCCCATAACGCATGATCCTCCATGCATACAAGGCTGACGACATGAGAAGACTGCCGTTGATGGGTAGGGAGGCGGGGTAAGGGAGTAAGGCAGAGAGGGAAGATTGGGCAGAGTGGACATTAAGTATCAGTCCTCCTGACAATCGATTTCTCAACTGTTCTGAGGCCACAATACCACCCAAAATCCACATCCATGTTCAAATATGTCCTGTAATACGTTTTCTAATTTTCTTCTGTAAGCACATTTAAGAAGCATCCTGCTTATTGTTATTTGGAAAGTAGCTTGTGAAAGACAATCATAAAATAAATATGCAATGTATGTGTAAAATGAAACAAGCAGAACAAAATATACTGAAACAGTGTTTTCTTCACTTTACGGCCAACGTTTCGCAACAGCCTAGCAGTGCATTTTTCTCTGACAGCAACTACAAGCATTCGTGTGCATTAACATGGAGCGATTTACCACAGCAAATCAACAAATCATGACAAAGAATTTCAGCAATAAGCAAGGCACTGGACTGGCTGTCTAGCATAGGCTTTCATTTGAAAGAAAGAGGCCAGCATGCTTGAAAAGAGAATTTCTGCTAATAGCAGTCAACCTGTTTTGTCGAGAAATATCGCCTGTGAGTACATTTACCGATACACTAATTTCAGCAGAGCAGCGTACAGCAGAACACTTTCAAGAGTGTCACCAGGACACCGCTTTTACAGCTCATATTTATAGTCTGCAAACCTTGGAAAAAGCTTAAACCTTTATTACTTCACAGTGTCTATTCAAAGGCTAATTAAAAATGAGTATATTTTCAAAATATATCTGCAATGATACATCCAAAAATACCTCCTGGCGTTTTAATCACTCATTGGCCAACACTGCAAAGATTACATTTGATGCTGTTATATTCTTTAATATCCTATGACAGAAATATCCTTACATACAGATAAAACACCACATACTATAAATGTTTTAATGGTGAATAGTAAAAGGTTTCTTTGCAGTTCTATCGATTTCATAGTACTAAAAAATCCTTATGGCAGTCTTGATTTCTCACAAATACTCTTGGGCTCAATTGTTTGAAGCAAGATCTTTCAATAAGGATGTTTTAATGCCAACCCTGACTTTTAGTACTGGCATAATGATTGTTACATCCAACAAATACCTCATGTGGTATATCTGAATAGGTGCACACACAGATAGGGTATCGTGAATGCATATACTTACTGCTTACGTCAACGATGAACGTTGCCCTGTGCGGACCAACCGAGCAGGTGTAGGTGCCACTATCACTTGCTTGGACATTCATGATGGTTAGTACAGTCTGGTGCACGGATTGCAGCTCAACATGCAACTTGTCTGAGCCGCCTGGAGGTTACAAATGGTGACAGAATCGAGAATATCAATAGCATGCCATTTTACTTGGTTTGCATGGTCAGACAATGGAGCCCTAAGTGGCCCAGGGTTATTACACCCAATGTCAACGGTATAAGATAATATTGGAATCCGAAGAGTTGATGTAAAATAACCCTTATGAAATGTTGACAACAGTTACAAACTGAAAAGCTGACAAATTTTTCAAACTCTTCTTTTGTTTCTTTGAGACACAGCACCATAGATCTCGTGTCAAAAAACAGTAAAAAGCAACAAATCAGCCCCGCACATAAGTTTATACAACTGGCACTAAGACTAATTCAACCAGCAAGATAACACTAAAGTGTAAACAAAAATCTGCAAGTGCCAAAGAAACAGTTCAGCTCACTCTCATGGTTATGAATATTAAATGTCTTTGAATTTTGAGGCACAGCAGTTTCTCTGGTGTAGGAGTAAGGCGGCACTGTATTTCACTTATCAAGGGAGGGCACTGTTTCCCGTTTTGGTATGTTTTTAGGACTTGTGAATTCAGGGAGATGGTTGGTATGTACAACAAGAAGATTCAATCTCTTGCAGGCGTGGTGGCTCTGATAAGAATCGATGAGTGTGGATTTGATGTTTTGACCAGGATGTGCTGGTCGTCCTCAGGAGAGACAATTGATTGTGGATTGTTGATTGCAGCCTGTGGATTACGGGTTGTGGATTACAGATTGTTATTGTGTTTTGCAGATTGCAGATTTTTGACGGTGGATCAGGGATAGTTGATTGTGGATTGTGGACTGTCGATTTGAATGTTGGATCCTTGATTGTGGATGGCAAATTTGGCAGCTTCACTTTTGGGTTTGGGGAGGTCAAATAGGTATGGGGGGGGGAATTACCTTGTCCAATCGAAAAGACTCGCTGACCGTCTGGGGTGTACCACTGTGGATTGGTGAGGGGGCTGTCTTCTGGGATCTGACAGGTCAGCTGGAGGTCATCTCCAATGACCAGCTGCTGGGGCTGGTCTGGGTCCAAAAGGATCTGGATGTCAAAGTGGGGTGTTTGCACTGCATAGGAACAAAGTGAAATGAAGAAATCAGGTATGAGCACTCTGTTAAATCAGTCCACATCCCATGTTTGAAATGATTATCAAACTGCCAGGTAATAGTGAGAGAGTTGCTTCCATTACCCTGGAAATGAAGACACACACAGAGCCACATGCACATGTTTATCTTACAGATGGCGAGTCAGGTTGGTGTGGTGGTTCATTCCTCACCCTTAACCACTTGCCGCCACGTTTCTGGTACCGGACACATATGCTTTATATGCGTGGCTGGGGTCTCCGAAATCGTACAAAGGGAACTGGGCCTTGTAACAGAAGACTGTGCTCGAATCAAAAGACCAAGCTGCTGGGCATTACCGACATTTTTTCACTCTCAGTAGTTGAGATAATCTGGCCTTGTGTTGAAACAGTATACCACGGTTTGGGGCATTTAGTGCAAGCGGGGACAAAAGCACTCCACCACCGCAGCGATGAGCCATACAGCGCCACTGTGCGCTAATCTGGCCCCTATTGAAAAGAGGTCAGCAGCGCGCTATGCCAGGTTCATGAACAAAAGAAAGTTACATAACACTACACAATCTGGGCTCTTTTCACAAGGCTGCTGGCCTGGCTGAATTACTCGGGCTTTACTCGGGCATCAATAGATTTTGTCTGTCAGACTAAAGTAGAAACCAGACAGTCCTTCGTGTTGGCGTAAGTGTCCAGTTAATGAGGATAGGACTTTTTAAAGAATTTTGAAAACAGAAAAAAATGATAATTATCCTGCCCCAGCATCATCAACATTGAAAACTGCCACGGGCACGGAGTGGTTAACCTTCGCAGTCCTGGTTCAATTCCTGGCTTGGTCCACAGGTGAATTGGATCTTAAAATCCGTACCAGACTCCATGAGTTTTTACCCAGAATATTCGCCTGGGGTTTTCCTTCCACCTTTAAAACAGTATCAGCTTCTGACTATCTCCTCTCTTCAGGTTTCTTTAGACTTGCGGGCTACAGTGCCTTAGGCACTTTTGAGGAATCTTTGGTGTCCTTACCAGAATAATGATAAAAACCTTGTGTGGGCATTCCTTTTTTGTCACATTTGGAAACACTCAGAGAAATTAACTGCAAAAACTGTTTTAAAATTGAATTTTTTTTACGGCTTTCTGAACTTTTTCTCATCCTTTTGCTACAGATATTTCTCACCCCAAAATATATCTACGCCTTTTCCACAGAGAGGCGACATCCCTGTGTGGACCTGGCTTGGTCCACAGGTAAGGTCAAGGCAAAATGCAGTTTTGACCCTGTGGTGAACTCTGCAAGCTCAGTCCCCGGGGAGGGGGATTGAACCCATGACGAGTTGGGCTGAAGCACGTACCTGCTATCTGGCAGTACCCCCCGATGTAACCCTCGAGGCAGAGGCACACTCCTTCAACACAGCTCCCTCCATTCTGGCAGGACGGAAAACACTGAGCTGAGCCTAACACAAAAATATAGTTAAAATCAAAATGATGGCTTTAACAAATGCGAGGCTCTGACCACCGCTACACTTGACACCAAGTTAAACTTCAGAGGGAATGGAGCACTTATCTGTAGAAAATCTACAGTTTAACATAAAGTGAAGTATCATCTGTAGACTTTATACATACAATACAACAGTTTGTGGTGCAGCAACTATCCAGAAAACATCAGTTCATGATGCAACCCACGACATTCAAATGTACATGCACATGTGCATTACAAAAATCTACATCTGTCTAAAATTGGAGCATCTTTGCATGTTGCTCATAACGTCATTGGTAAAATACGTCAGTTCATAATAGACACGAAACAAAAGTGATCATCAATGCTATGTTGTGGCAGCAGATTACATGGTTGTGCTGTAAATTTACAGAAGTTGAATGAGTTTCAACTGAATCTTTGGCTAGTTTGATGTTTGGCCAGTTTTCTTCAAATAAAATCAATAAAAAACCTGGAGTGGCATGAATGTTGCTTGCAACTTACCAATGCTGCTGATTCTGATTATGAGGGATGCTACCACGTTGCCCACAGCGCACTCGTACTTGCCGGCATCGGTCGCATTTACGTTATTGATGACCAGGACTACGGCCGAAGGAGAGGACTGGCGAACATACAGGTGTTGAGACCCACCTGCAGAAGATACCAAGGTCAAATAGCTTCAGCCCTCTGTCCAGCACGACACCCTCTCCTTGTGCTAAAGGAAGACTCATCCAAATTGGGAACGAGTGGGTACCCTTCTGTCCAGCCACTTCCTCCCTATATTAAAGGGACCCTCTGCCCAATTGCGTTCTTTAAAAGAGGGCGGACATAATGCCCTTATCTTGTGCTCGCCAGATGACCTTCTGTCATCCTGGGTTCCTCCTAAGGAGTGGGCACAGTGCTCTCACCATAAGCTAGAAGAGAACCCCCCGAGAGGAGGAAACACACCACTATCTAATGCTTGTCGAACAACCCTCTATCCAGCTGAGTTCAGCCAAATTGTGGGGGTTGGAAACCTTGTGCTAGTGGGAGCACCCTCAGCCCAGATGGGTTTATCCAAATAGGAGGGGAATCCACACCACTATCAAATGCTAGTGGAACAACCCAGTCTTAGTCTGGGCAAGGGGTGGGAACCCTTACCTTGTCCTAGTGGGAGGACCCTCTGTCCAGCAGGGTTTCTCCATATTGGTGCACTCCTTGGATCACTATTTCCCATGCTGACACATTCAAACTGCAGTGAGGAGCCAGGGCTTGGTATTTCGTTGCCAATTTGGCGTATGTTGACTGTCACCTTCTCAGGAACTGTCAGGAAGAAGTATGAATGTACATGGTGTTATGAAGTGAAACATTAAATTCCACAGTACCATATTTACTTGCATTTTTTGGTCAAGTATATGTAATACCACAAACCAACATGTTTGATAACAGTGCATATCAACCTCCAAAACAAGTATTAGCTCTTGCTTAAAGAACTTTTGTACAAAATGAGAACTTTTGAGCTGAGCTTCACTTCAGGGATTTCACTGTATTTCGATAACCTTCTACCCCTCAAACTTTCTGGTACTGGAGCTAATGGGCAGATTAGGAAACAGTCCTCTGTGTGATTGCTGAAAGAACTGTTATACAGGTGCACCAAATTCTACTCCTTTGAAAGAAATGAGAAACTGCTTCGAGTTGAAGTAACTTTGAGTTAGCCGAGTTTGACTTAAGGAGATTTTATGATAGACTGCATACTGAACTTGACTGCCATATGCTACCTCTTGCTGTAGAAAATATCACTCAACAGCGGAGCTCCGGAGTATAGCAAGATATTGCATTGTGCTTTGAAACATCACAAAAATATTCTACAAATGACTGGCATTTACTGCTGTATCCTGCCTTTTTGAAAGTCATTCTTTTTGTCCAAATTAATATGTCCTGCAAGAGTGGTTAATAAATCAATGATTCATTGTGCAATGGACTGAAACGAAATAATATGTTCTGTGACTGTAATGAAATGCTGTTACATGAGGACGACATTCATACATTCTAGAAGGAAAAAAATCAATCCAATCATCCTTCCTCATAATGAAATAAAAAATGAGATGGTAATGAGCTGAATGTGTGACAGTCAAGTAAGCTCTGAAATAGGAAACTTACACAAAGCAAGATAGTTACACATAAATGTAAATCAAGGAAAGAAAGCTTCCAAAAGGATAAAGTAGATGTAATGTCTTATTTCGAGCCACATATGGCATTCTGAACCAAGGATGGAAATCAATGTTTGGAGTAAACAGGGAATAACAGCAACTTTGTGCACATGAATGGCAGTGTTGTAATTGAGGCATCACAAGACCAGACAAAAGAGCAAAGACAAGACCAGTCACAAGTAAGAGTGTGAACAGTGACAAAGGAATGCTTTTGTTGCAGGCTATTTGAATAGCTTGTGACTTGAATTCAGACTGGAGAGCTTGTGTTGGTCTTGTGTGGTCTTGTGAAGGTCTTATGTCTCGACTACAACAATGATAAATGGACACAGGTAACAAGAATTAGCTAATGCAAAAGAAAAGTAGTTGCACCTGTCATTCATGTTTTAAAGCTAGAAATCAAAATGTTTTCCAGTCGAAATTATATGTAGTGGATATATATCGAAATATCAAAAATTGGACTGCAGGTTCATTGAGGACAAAACACACTGAAAAGCAGGAATTCAAAATATGCTGGAGGCACTGCTGCTGGTAAAGGCATCTTTTCACAACAGAACCTTCAACATAAAAATATCCAGGAATTACGCTCACTTGAAGGTCTTTCAACTGTCCACCTTCAGTGCTTTTCAAACTTAAAACATATCTAGCACAATAAATTTTTGTTATAGAGAGGCAGTAAGTCGTTTGTCTGAACACAGACCTTTGCTTGAACAAAGTTAGTTATCACTAATACTCTGCCAAAAAAGGATGAGAACGACTAGACATGCTTAAACAATTGTTTGTGATTAACTGATTGATTAATGTTGCTTCAAAACAATGAAAAAATAGAGGATCAGTACACCATGACATATGTTTCTTTCATGCATAAGACAACGTGAAAACATAGGCCGTGCACTTCTTCCTATGGACATGACTGGCAACAGAATGCCTGCTGGGAAAAAATACCAAAAATATGTGACCTACTCTAACAAAGTGAGTCACAAGTCCCCAGAACAACTTTGAGTACAGTCTTTTAAAGAATCTTGAACAATCAAAGACAGTTCCAATTAACAAAATCTTTTCACTCATAAAGTGTGTACTTTCATCATTATCTCCAACTAAGAGCCACATCAGATGAAAGAGCTATTAGTTTGCTCTTTCTGTTTCAAACTAAAAAAAAAACAAAATGACTGAAACATGACTTAAGGCTCGTTTTGTGGGAGCCTGTGTGGTCACTGGTTACCAATCATGCCCACAGCATGCAGCACTTAACCTACTCACAGTCTGCTAGGCCAACCTGCTATTTGGCAGAACTTTCCCTGGTACCCCGGAGGGCACTTGCACTCTCCGTTAATGCACAGGGCTCCATGCATACATGACCTTTGACACAGAGCTGGAGTTCACACATAAACACGACAATGTCATACAGAGAAACAGGACATGGTCTAATATGTGCATTTTTATAACATGTACACACAAATGTTAATCAATATTATTGGACAGTACACAGTGTTTGCACCATTGGAGTTTCCAGGAGAAAACAGATGTGTCAAACATTGTATCAAACTTATCACATCATCACCATATTCTACAATGTTTCAGAAGCAATTTTTAACCCCCGTCCAGAAAAAAATGACTTTATGGTACCATGCTTCAAACCAATGCACGTTTCAACTTCAATTTCAAATAGTGCAAATTCTGCCTAACTGTTAAAATGTACATCAACTCCATTAACAGCAACTATTTCTCACATGCAACTACACTTTTCCAGGATCAAACATGCAAATGTGTGAAACTACTTTTTTTTTCACTGACAATATGGCCAATGAGCTACAGATGAGCAGACATCTGGACAGAAATGGATGAGCTGATATGTCCAAAGGACAGGAGGCTACAATCTTGACATGCAGCAATCACATAGATATATATTAATTCCCTCCAAAATGTGAGAGAAAAGTTTTTTCCTGGAAAAAATTAACAGTTTCTGTCACATATTTTTCTTCATTATACAGTGTTCTGCAAGCATTAGTATTTCAACCAGAGCTACCAAGTTCTTTCAGAGCATTTCAGTAATCTCAACTCTAAAAATCAGTAATTTTCAGAGGAAATCAGTAATTTCTTTCACAGAACCGATTGCCTACAAAAATGCTATTTTATTTGATGAGCAATGTACAACACAGCATGTTTACATTGTAAATGTAGTACAGGAGTTTTCAGTATGTGGAAAGTAATATTTTAATGAAAAACAGTTTCAAATTATATTTGCTTTGCATGCCAAATTATAAATCAAATGTACAGCCTTTGATGTTGTGTGTACTTCCACAGGGCACCTGCAGCATAAGCATAGAAACTAATGTTCGCAATAAATACCATTGTCTTTAGGGCGGAAAATGTTGCTCTGTCATGATTCCCTTCCCTATCATCCTCATCTGCCCAATGTTTCACTGACTTGACATGTACTTTGATGTCATTTGATCCCCTGTGTCCGATCGAGAAATCGCTGGAGAACAGCGTACATCGCGCAAAATTTTCACCTTTTGAAGATGTCGTGATACATAGCCATTTCTAATTGTGTTCTCTAAACATCTGCAGCTTTTTCACACGTTTAGCCTTAGAAGCCATTTCTTTTCCAAGAAAGAACGACAAAGTCCGTGCGATCGTAGAAATATCAGAGCGTGTACGGTGGCGTGGTGTTGTCATGCACGACGCGTCACACGCACGCCGTGATTGTTGCGGAAGTGGGTATCACACCAATTCGGACCAAAAATAGCTCGGACCCACACCAATGTGCACACACAATACTACACTACGTCTTGCGATGCCGAGCTGCCCGTGCATTCGAGTTGTGTTATTGGTTGATGTTTCCCATGTCGAATTGTCCCATGTAAAAACAGCATTTTGTGTGTGTGTGTCATTGGGCACCAGCACACCACAGGTAGTTCTACGTATGTTTCACTGGTTACAGTATCACACAATGTACATGTTACCATACATACAAAATGTCCTGTTTGCTGGGGAGTCGGTCTTCACACGTTCCACCGCCGCACATGAGCACGGGACACATTACACCACCACACGCGGTCTGAGCGCGGGCCGAGTTGAGTATCAACCGAACCATTTTGTGTGGTTTGTGCACCGCGATATTATGCATGACCGCCAGAGGGTTTTCCGTTTGGGCGGCAGCTGTACTCCAGTAATCACGATCAATTTCCACACCAATCATGGAAAATCCGTACCACTTGGCAGCTATGTTCAATGCTTTATGGTCAATGGTTCCTTTTACAATGGGAGGAACTAAGGCAACAACAGAACACAGAGATGTTTAAGTTTCTTATCCAAATGTTCACTACAAATGTCCATATAGAATGGTCCAGTGCCAGATTTGCGTGCAAAAATTACTGTGCAGCTGTCTCACTTCATCTTGCCTTTCGCAAGAATGTAACTTTCACAAAAAACTTCATGTATCTAAACAAGACAAGAGAACCTATTTCCACGACACATGAAATGATTGTCAAATCTCAAAAAATCAGTCTTCAGTCAGAAATCTTGTGTTAAGTCACTGGTCGCTCTGAGTGCTTTCAAACTTGAATTGAATTGTCACACCCAAACAGTACGCTGATGGAAAACTGACACTGGATTCGAATGGCCAGTGCAAAACAAACCAAGACATCAGCTCTAGCCGTAACTTCATTGCTGGAAACCATCACAAACGACCACTTAGTATGTTCACAAACAGCTACAGTACAGTTCAGAATTTTAGCATAATTTTAGCTCCCCCCCCCGAGATAATGAGGCCCGGGGTCAGGCTTATTGTACATTAAACCAGCAATAAACAGTAAAAACTGCAAAGTATGTAATGAACAGCGTGTCAGGTTCAATGATCGCATTACTTTGTCGGCTAAAATCTGACCTGTACTGTATTCAACAATTTCCACCGAGTGACATGGAACAAATCAAAGAGCAATAACTCAACAAAAAGCACTTTAGGTGTTGATTTACCACTATCACTTTGTGTATATATGAAAGGAAACTATTGATTTTAGTGTAAGTGTGGTGTTTTGTGAGTTGTTTTTTACCTGGTGTTTGGCAGTAGTGGCCAGTGAATTCTGGTGGGCAGGTGCAGATACCATCCAGGCAGGTTCCGCCATTTTGACAGCTGGGCCGACACTCGAGGCCTAGCAGAATGCAGAGGGAAAACCATCTAGACTGCTAAGTACAAGGTTTGTCAAGAGCACTGAGCAAGTTCGGTATTTCAAAATAAGCAAGGTCTTTCGCAAACAATGGACATGCGCGAGTCAGAGGGCCATGCTGATGGGGCCTGTAACCTTTTATGGCCTTTCTGAGGGTTGAAGTATAATTTGGGTCTTTTCTAACTCAAGTTGGAGTGAAAAGAACTGAAATAATACAAAGTATTGAATTTCCTCATTATTTCGAAAAGCAATGCCCCCTCCCCAAAATCCACCAGCTACAATGGAATGGCACCAAAGGCTACCGCGTAAACTGTGAACAAGTAATCGATGACTCACCAGCAACTTCTAAGGAGAAGTTGGCCATGACCGGCCCCACCATGCACACGTAGATACCAGCGTCATCGTAGGACACGCTGTTGATGAACAGCGTGGTGGCTGTGGAGGTCAATGCCTCTTCTGATAAACGAGCATTTGAACCACCTGTGTAAGGAAGGAAAAGACACTGTATGTCAAATAAGCAGTTGACAGATCCCTCTAGAAACTATGCACTGTTTGAAACAGACATTTTGCACAGAGCTTTTGATTTTCAAGTGACTCGAAACTATACCACCATTAAAGAAATAAAAAGTGTAAGTTCACAAAATTAGAACAACTACATTTTCTCTGGCAGACCTACACTTGTTAAAATACAGAAATACAACGAGTATGTTCCATGTATTTCTGCATTTTAAACAACCCCGACGTTCAATTGGTAACAACATTTCAGCTGACTGCAAACTGTCATCAAATGAATGCAGTCCACAAGTACCAACTCGTCAGTGGAAATGCAAATCCTCACTGTCAGGGAAAGACACATCCTGGCAATCAGTGAGAGGCTTTAGCTTAAACGTCTTCAATGACTTTCCCCCAATTGTCAAAGTAACTACATCTGGCCAACTGGTTTCTTGTACACTTTCCATTAATACTACAAGAGTTTGCCTTTGTCAAATATAGCGATTTCTGCGGTGAACGTGTGTTAAGGATGGTTCATAGTCAGCACAAAAGCAACCACCAATAGTGATGTAAGATCCAATTTGCACTGTACATTTTCAAAGTTGAATCTGTATCAACCAAAGTGAATTTCAATGCAAAGGTTTCATGTCTTCAAAGTCTTTGCAGCAAATTTCACTGGGGTTGCAATGTGTTCAATTTCTGTAAATTCACAGCACGGATATTTGATCTGATGTCACAGGTCTGTGTTCCTGTTCACTTCCGCAAAAGTATGAACCAACCTCAAGAAGACAAGCAAAATGCTCACAAATTCAAAAGCCTGGCCAACAGGACACGGATGAACCAAAAAAGTGAAAAGACGGCCAGTACTTTTGTCAAGTCCTGCATAAGTCCCTCAACAAGTCTGGATCTGGGCCTGGACAAATACTCTGATGAAAAGCTCAACTTGGGCATCACTTAGAATAGAGCTTGGAGGGGATTGGCCGGGTGTTGATCATTCCAACTGCAGATGACGTAGCAGCACGCTTTTGAAAGCTTTAATGTTATCTACTGCAGTCCTTTCACAAGACCGGTCATAAGTAATTGGGTAAGCAGTGGCAAAGGAATGTTCTTGTCACATTTCTTATGAATACACTGAGACTTGACTCAAGACTGAATGGCTTATGATGGACTTGCAGGGATGTGTGATGGACTCGACAACAGCACGGCATGTGACAGTGGTCTTACCCAGGGCGTTCCTGCGAGCCACGGGTTGTCCGCCAGGTGTCTTCCAGGTTGGATTGAGGAACGGAGTTGGGCCAAGGATGATGCAGGTGAAAGCAATGTCTTCTCCGATTCTTGGGACTCCCGGGCGGATGGGTACAATCTGGATCCGAATGTTTTGCGGACCTGAAGACAGGTGAAAAGACACAATGATCACCTTAACAGAAAAAGAGATCCAAATATATACGGTACACCAAAAGCAATTCAAATTTACATTAACACCTGGGAACCTTGCAACTGGAAACCAACTCATTCGGTATTATAACAAACGGAAAAATGCACACTGGGTAGGAACTGAGGAGTGGAAAGGGTCAAAGGTCACCAACACGAGAGAACGCGCAAACAGTGCAACTAGCATTGTTTCTCTTTTTGAAAAGAATCTAGTTCAGAAACAGCCCCAAAAGTACTTCTTACGAAGCAAGTATCTAGTCATCCTATAGGGAGTCAAGTCACGAGCTATTCAACTGAACAGTTTCAAAGGTAATTATATATAACGGGTTTGCCCTTACCCAACGTATATTAATAAGCACTGTATGCTCAGTGCTTGTCCGAGAGCTTGTGAAAAAAAACCTCACAAGCAGTGAGCAGCATACAGTGCTTATTAATATACGTTGGGTAAGGGCAAACCCATTATATATAATTAACATCTCCCCAACGCAAAAATACATCTTGAAAAAAAGTTTCAAAGGTAGTCATTTTGACATTATCAGAAATACTTTTGCAAGAGCAATGGAATGATTTTGAAGGTGAGGGGCCATCAGGCATCAGCTATTAAAGGACTTGCTACAAGTGGGGGCAGTACCTGCAAGTTGAAAAAGTGGCGGGGGCAGTAACTAATGTGAATATTGTATACACATGTATATTGTATGTATACTGTATATATTGTATCTATTGATACACTTGTATTGGAATACATCGGTGAAGGAGAACCTAAACACTCTCTTGAGAAGTTTTAAACATGCTCACACTTCCAAAGTGGTCAGCATGCACGACTAGACATTTTTGTTGTTCTAAAACAAGTTATCGCTCATATCAAGACAGATTAGCGAAAAATGAAATATGGTTATACCTTCGGCTTGGCACGCAGTCCCTGAGTAGCCCTCTGGACACTGGCAAACACCGTTCACGCAGGTTCCCCCATTCTGGCATTCCTGAGGACACGGCAACTCTAGACAGGATAACAGAAATGTAGACATGAAACTTCTATAATGGACTGACCCGTGTTAACAAGGCACTGAGTTTGACTCAATTTCTATTTGGGAAGGACTGGAACAGAGGTTATTCATGGGTCAGCAATATGTTGAAACTGAACTTTTAACTTAAGAGGTTAACTCTTCGTTTTGGGGAAGTTGAGTGCAGAAACAAAAGCAACAAATAAATTCCATGACAAATTAGTACCTATCAACTCTGATGAATAATTTGTATTTAGATTGAGTACTGGAGAGGTATTTTAGGCCACATTTTGAAAAAATACAACTGAAAGGGGGCTTGGAATGCACAACGAGGTCTGGTGACATTTATACCAACAGTTCACAATGTGTAAATTAGATTCAGAGAACAAAATCAAAAATGGTTTCCTCAGGAATAAGTTCAATACTACACTGCAAATAACTGAACAAATTCTGTGAAGAAACTGTAAATGGCACTATAAGGTTGACCTAAAGCTAAGTATGAGCATACCATGTGAATGCACTGAATTGCTAGTAAATGGTAAGAAAAGCTTGTCAACACATTTCAGTTGAATGAGCACAATGACAATGAATTCTGGAACAAAGCAGTATGTGGTAGCTACAGGACATCTTGGAATTGGCCGTGTGATATGACTGGAATGCGAAGGGAGTGATGTGCAACAGTACGACAGTGAAAAGCAACAAGCAAGGAGCATATTTTGTGTGAGGAACAAACAGAATGGACTTTGCCTCACCCTGGACTTCTATCCTGAAGGTGGCAATGACAGGGCCCACGTCACAGATGTAGGATCCGGCATCGGAGGACTGCATGCCTTGAATGGTGAGCTGGGTGGCGGAGGGGCTGACATAGGACGTGAACACGCGACCTGCACTGGCTGGATAGAAAAATGGACATTTTGTACATTTTGCCATGACCCGGTTTTGCAATCCATTTGGCTTTGCCACGTGAGATGAGACCATCTGTCACCTCATCCGTCACAGAGGTCAACAATGAGCCATTTTGGTATTCTAAAAGTGAATGCCCACACAACAAGCAACAATTCCCATGTGTGAGGTTAGCCTAACTTGCGTGGCTGTAAGCTGATTAATTATGCTGGACTTGTTCACGCTCGCATGTTCTCTTCTCAGATGGCCCTACCCTCTTTGAAACTAATGAACTGGCTTATTGTTGAATGTTGAATTAACCCTTCAAACACACATGTACACAGATGAATTCCAACCCTCTTTGTAATCTTATGCCAAATGACGTTCTGTTGAGCAAATTTTGAAGAGCATGAACATACCTTCCGACTGGGGCCGTATCTCCGCATTCTCCTTCCGCCATCTTGGTCGAATGTCTGGCAGGACTTGACCGGTGATTTGACACAGGAAGCTGATGGTCCGCCCAATCACTGGAACCACTTCTCCGACAGGGTGGAGTTTCACATTAAAACCTGATAAATATTCAACACATTTTTCCAAAATATAAGCATCCACACTGAACAAATATCCACTTCAAGCACAGACAAAAGTGTAAAAACTTGACTCATGGAAAATGGAATTAAAATGACCACGAACAAAGCTGGTTGGGGTCTAATTTGTCAACTGCAACATGAAGTGCCAAACAAAATTAATTTTGTGAACAAAAGTTGAAGAAAAGTTTGTAGGCTATCCATAATAGGTCAGTGCGATCGACAAAATCTTTCTTTTTTAATTTCACCAAAACTCATAAAACATAAATTTAAAACTGCCCTCTAAAGGAACACACCACAAGCAAGCACAAGCTCTTGCACTTCATTCAGATTGTCCACAGACACAGAATGCTAAGGATTGTTGTCCTTTGAAAGAAAATTAAAAATGGTCCTTAAATGGCCAACCCAAACACTTGTGTATGTGGGGAGATATGAATAAATATCTCTTTTTTGGGCAACCAAAATATAAAAAATGATGACATGTGCCTGTTCAACCAATCTCACTCCTCTCAAAGGCAAGTGTCCATCAGCCAGAGAAGATCCCAAGACATGATCAAGTCTCTTACCAGGAATTTCGCATCGGGAGCCCAGGAATCCTGCTGGGCAAACGCAGGCCCTGTTCACACACTCCCCACCATTAATGCACGGCTGGGGGCAAGGGAGGGCCGGCGTCTGGCACTGGGGTCCAGTGAATTCTGGTGGGCATTCACATGCACCGTTGCTACACTGGCCGCCATTGAGGCATGGAGGCAAGCAGGAAGGCACTGCCAGAAAGAGGAAAATAAAGAAAAATTTTCGGGGATATATCCGGCTTGATCGTTCGATATCTGGATCACTCAATCTTTGTTTGGTCGGGCGATCTCAATGCATGATTTGATGCTAACTTTGTACTCAACCAATTGCCTTTTCTTTCTAATTCGTGAATGTAAAAGACCGTGCAATAGGCACTTTTGAGGGATCCTTGGTTTCAGTATCAGAAAAAAATAAAAAAAATAAAAAGTAATAAAACAGTGACCCTGGGCTTTTGGCATTCACCAAAGAATATCAGCCTGACAGTATCATGTTTAATGCTCACAAGCATTTACTTTCAGAGGTTACGGCCAAACAATCTTTTTTCAGTAGTGGAAAGTAAAAACGTGACAAAACCTAACAAAATGAGATAAAAATTGCCAGAGCAACTTTTGAGTGAAAGGTCTCCAAGAGAACTGTGCACTGTAGAAATCAACGGGAACTCTCAACGTACATGTATATTGTTCATTTCATCTGGATGCCAAAATGGGTGTTACACCAGACCAAAGAACTCAATATACTCTTACCTGTGCAAACTATGTAACAATTACCAAAACTTGACTTTGACACTCATTTTGTGCGATTTGAACATTTCATGCCAATGCTAGTTGAAGAGCCAGCTAAGACTGCAGGATGGACACCAACCCACACATAGGGTGCATTCACGCCGTTACTCCTGTTAACACGAGTAAGAGGCGTGCGCATTACGATCAGGTTGCAGGAGTATACTCCCTTCTAGCAAGAATGTACTCTTGCTGACTCATGGGTCGTACTCCTGTTGTTTGAGTGCTCAGGAGTATGCTCATGTTAACACGAGTAGTTTGCTCGAACGCACCCTTGACCTTCTTCATGCAAAGAAATAAGAGAGAAAACTGCAACATCTATGTTTTAGAAACCAATCTGGCTCCAAAGTTTGCTGTTCAAGTGAGGCTCTGTGAACACACTGGACGTGTTTATAATGCAGGAAACAATCAATTGCCCAACTTCGATATGTCTTTTGCCATTTTCTGCAAGTATAGCTTGCAAAACTACTTTGGGAACAAAATGGCATCATACACAAACTCATCATGCCACAACTCTCTACAGACTAATAATATCATTTACTGAGGTTGCACTATGTTCGTGTGTGTATTGTTAAAATTTGAGGCCTGCATGCCTTTAGCTCATCCGGACAAACTGTCAGTTTATTTAATTAGTTTGTTTGACTAGCTCTGTCTCAAAGCCTCCTGCCTTTGAAGACTCTCACCTTGCACAGTGATCATGACAGTGTTGGTGAGGGTCCCGATGTAGCAGGTGTACATGCCGCTATCTTCCACCATCAGGTCTCGGATGATCAACCGTGTAGAGCGGCTATCGATGTACTCCACTCCCAGCCGTCCAATGCTGCCGACTGCCCAGAAAATCAAATGAAACATGGTAGGGTAACTAACAGACCGATTGTGCCTGTTAAGTCAAGTGGCCTAGAGTGGGTATCAAACAACAAGCATGGTGTTCTTCAATAGCAAAGCAAAATTTAGGAGTTATTTACAAGAAATACATCCAATGGTCGGCACAGTCTGAGACTACTGACTTCTTGAGCGCCGCACAAACTGGCTTTATTTTTGGGTAAATAACACTGATTACACACTTTGCTATGCAAGAACATTATGTTACCCACTTATTACTCATGGTCAGGACTTAGCAGGTGCAATTGGTATAGTCATGAAGCTCTAAACACAAGCATACCTGAAATGTTGAGTATAGGACATCCTTCCATGGTGCTACCATGAAACTTGCCACCTCACCATGAAAAGTTTCAAAGTTTGTCTTTGGATCAAAATGGTCGGATCACCAGCAGAGACCAAGAGTCATGTCACTTGTTATTGAAATTGCACTTCAATTTTTTGCACTTTCCTTTTTTGATGCTAATTTATTCCTTTGAGAGCTAAAAGTTGCCTCAAAATACACAATTTTGTCACCAAAATGCATGAGACTGAAGTGCAGGCTATAACCCCCCAGGATTTAATCATTATTAAATCAAACAACACAAAAGTCCCCTCCCCCCCACATCCGATATCTGGATTCATCCCAGCTGAAGTCCCCATACTCCTCAGGAATACACTCACTCTGCTCAATGGGTGCAATCAGCGATCCGGATGGAGCGGCCCATTCTGGCCGGGGTAGGTTGCGGAGGCTCTCTATCTCGCATAAGTAGCTGATTTCATGCACGCCCGGCACAAGGACTGGGTTGGGGGGCGGCGTGATGACAATGGTGTAGTCGGCTCCCCCTAATAATTTGCAAAAGTGAAGTATGTGATCAACCCGATAAGCACTTTCCTAACATTCCTTCTACTCCCAAACAAATCATTAAAAATGGACAAGATCTGGAGAGAGTGGCAGGCTGCTTTTTGCCATTGTAGCCACACAGCCCTGTCAGTGGCTGTGGGTGGGACGGAGGTGCACAGTACCTGATGGGGACATTTCACAAGAACAATAGATCATTTTGATGTTGCTGATTTTGTTTTTTGCCAATGGGGTTGGTGCTTGCTGGGGTTGGGGGGGTAAACCAGCCCTCCCCCCTTGGTACAGGCAACAGGGCCTGCAGAAAAGAATGTGATTTACTTAAAAAGTATGTTTATTTCAAAACGGCTGGAGCATTGGAAGATGCAGAGCCTGACATCCTTTAGCAGATCTCAAGGTGGGGGAAGGGAACATGAGCCATGCCCCCCCCCAAAAAAAGCAAAATTGATTTTGTGGGGGAAAGACACAAGAGAAAGGTGATATGTGGGACCATTTAATTCCTCCCTCCGAGCAGCTGGTAAAAAGCCCCCAGAATATATCCTCACCCCTACAAAAGGTTATATCAAGAAATTTCACACATTCTTTGTCCTTTAAGAAACTATATCCCCGCGAATAATTTGGTTCTGGAATTCACCCCTTGGTGACATGACAACATATCAAATATGATAAAAGGGCTGATCTCAAACACGTAATGGTAATATCAATTGAACTACAACATGCTTAGGGTTTTGCTAGCTCATTCAGGCAAAAACAAACAGTTTAAGATAAGGGGATGCCTGTGGTTAGGCCACGGACATACATTGCCTTTAGTTGTTTTTGGTTTATTTTCCACACATACATCACAATTACAATATAAAGCCACGATGTTATTACAAAATGAAATAAGGGATAATGAATGGTGGATACCAAACAGAAAGCAAACACTCGTTCATGGCCTGGTTCCTTATTTGTCACAATAATCTATACACAGCTATAATTACAAGATAGAGGAAAGACAGAGAGAGTGAAAAAGTAGAATAACTGAAGGTACAGCTGAACATCAGAATTAAACAAAGATGGTAATTAAGAAAAAACAGTTGAAATCTACTGAAGTTTTTGATAACTGCTGTATGAAGCTAGAGTAAACCTACTTCGTATCTCGCAGCGGGGCCCAGCAAACTCCTCTGGGCACTGGCACTCTCGACCCAGGCATACCCCCATGTTCTCGCACACCACCTCGCAATTCGGCGGCCGCTCCACCCTCACCTCAAAGAAGCCCTGCAGCGGACCAATGTTGCAGGTGTACCGGCCGGCGTCGGCCGGGCGGACGCTGTTGATGACCAAGTTGGTGGCGGTTGAGGTTATGTACTGCACACCGACGCGCTGGCCGGAAGCTGGAAGTTGAAGTGAGGGTGCAGTTTGTGTTACAGTTTTAAACACTGATAAGACGTGGATCTTTGCATGGTGAAGATAAACTATAGAGAGAGCTTGCAGTTAGTGTGTACTTGACGTTTCAAAGAGTGTGCTCCTGAGGACGATCGGAGCACATTGTGTTATCGCAAGCCAACTCTTTAGTTTTAAACATTTGTGTTCACTAAAATTGGGGTAACAAATGTGGTGGAAAACAGTGAAACAACACGAACAGTGGTCATTTGAAAGCAGTCATTTGACATCATCATCGTTTTCAAAAAGGGATAAAAATCCCAATAGTGTTTTGTTTTTTATCTCAAACGTTGGTTTTCGACAATATCGACCAGGTTATGCAAATGCTGATAAATTGGAGGAGTCATTTTCAACAACTTTATTGATATCAATTGAACCACAATGATCCCTGTCAGACAAAATTAATTTCAAATCACATTTGTCATTTAAACTCCTAAATTATATGCTAAAGTAGGAATTCCGTACTTGTTCCATGCAACAGCATCCGCAAGTCTTTTACTCCTTTCTTAAGGGAAAATGGAAAGTGCAGAAATTTTCAATCAGCTGTTGGAGGGTACATTGTGTAGCACAGTTTAAGATGCATAAAATTCTTTTGCCATAAACTTTACAAATTCTGCTTCAAAAAGGGACCAACTTTCCAAATGAAATCTTTCCAAAGGTTTAGTGTGGTCTTGCATAGCTTAAATCTTCCTTTCACAAAAATGGTGATAAGACGCAGCATGAATTTTGATTTGACAGAGGACAGGGAAACAAAGACACAAAAAAGGATCTGCTGTTGACTTTTAAGAGCACAAGTTTGGCCTCACCAATTACGAATTCCGGGATGACAGCACCATCCGGTGTCTGCCACTCAGGAGGGCTGAACTCGTTGGTGCCAATGATCTCACAGGTGACACGCAGGCGGTCGCCTACATGAGGGAGCTCTTGCATGCTGGGTGTAATGCGAATAGTCAGTTGTTGTTGCTCTGTAAAAGCAAAAATGAGTAAGACACATTTCTATTGATAAATTTCACCGTAATCTGGTAATAACTAGTTTTTTCCTAGCTTTTCTAATATCTGTACGTACAAAATGAGAACTTTATGATGCACCAATGGTAAAAAAATATAAGCAACTCTAAGTTTCATTCATAAATTAGTACCACCATCAATAAACAATAAATTGTTATGGATGGTAGTTTTCATTTTTGAATGAAGCTATGTAATGCTTAGATTATAAGCTGCAAATAGCTTGTCCGTGACTTGTGATATGACTTTGAATTAACATGTGTTTGAATGATTGATTTCATGTCAACGGGGCAACCAGCCCCATCGCCATCTTTGGGCATGGGAGGTAAGCATGGGCGGATGCTAATGGCCCCTCTTGGCGACAGGCCTGATGGAAGCATATGATGCAATACCAGCTGACTTCAATGCTCACCCCTTTCTTGACAGTGGTCACCGGTGAAGCCAGTTGGACACAGGCACACTCCGTCATCGCAGGTTCCCCCATTCTGGCAGGCTGGTGAACATGGAATCTCTAAATTTTGGGGGGAAATAATTCAAATGTGACACTTGAGGGGGAATTGGTGGTATCAGACCTGATAAGAGGGGCTCGATGGAGTAAGAGTCCGTACTCTGGGGTCTGATTACCAGAGTGATGGGACTTGGCTTGACTATTGGTGGGGCTTTTAAGGTCAACCGTGATCGACACATAGAGTATGCGCACTGGGATACAGGGTACAGGCCTGAAGTGTGAGGACTATGGACAGACTAGTGACAAACAAAGCTGACTGAAGCTGTCAATCAAATAATGGCCCAGCAGAAGCTGGTGGCAGAGATCTACTGTCTAGACCATTTTATGCTTGAATATGAACTCGAGCAAATTTGACGTCGTGACAGATTTGTCACAAAATATTGCTCGAGTTCAAATATACTAAACTTCTGTGAATTCATAGCCTAACTATACATAGCCTAACTGCCCTATTTTAGCCTAACTGCCCTATGCATAGCCTGGCTGTCCCATGCATAGCCCATCTGCCCTATACATAGCCCGGCTGCCCCATACATAGCATGCTGATCTGG